ACTAAAGCTTCTTCGAACCAGAAGGATGCAGTTAGAATAAACATACAGACTAAAAAAACCATTCAAGCAAACAATTTCTTTTTCCTTCAATCAGAATGATGACATGACCTGATATCAGTATGTAAAGGAAGGGATATAACTTTTTCCGATAAGAATTATAGTAAATTGCTGGTGGCTAACGAATGATATCTTAAAGACAGAGAAGACCTTAAGATGTGAAAAGGCTTATGTCTACAAAATTAACTAACTAACCTCAATTTGATTCTGGCGATTTTTTGCTTTGTTAACTTCTTTTTGCATCACTGTCACCTTGTCTCTTTGAATCTTGAGCTCTTCCTGCAACATAGTCTTCTGACCTTCCCACGACTGAGTATCCTTAAACGATCTTTGTCCTCTCTCTTTTGCTTCTCTATAACTCTCAGCAGCCTCGGCAGCTCTTATCTTAGCAGCTTCCATCTCTTTCTTCAGTAAAGATTGTTCTACCTCGAGCCTCCGTGCAGTATTGTTAGCTTTTTCAAACTGGCTGGTCGCATTTTTCACCGCACTCTCCATCTCAGACAGCCTCTTCATAGTGTTTTCTTCCATTAACTGCTTCTCTTTTTTATGCTGTTTTGCCAGTTCTCGCTCTTTCCTCAATGCCTTAAGCTCTGGCTGATCCTTGAGAAGTCTACCAGTTGCTTCTTTTACTTTCTGATTAGCCCAGTCCGTCCATACTTGCAGTTCATTCTGCAGGTCATTCACTCGAGGAACTAGCTTTAGAATCAATTCATCTTTTTTATCCCGGGGAATATATATACGCAGAGATGCATCATACGGGATACCAGCGTAGTAATCTGGTGCTAGTTTTTCAGACACAGAAGCCTTTTCTTCTGACTCAGAACAAGACTTCTTTCCTGAAGCTATAGGTACAGAAGAAACAGACTTCTTTCCTGAAGCTGAAGGTACAGAAGAAACAGACTTCTTTTCTGAAGCTGAAGGTACCAGCTTTACAGGCTCAGAACCAGACTTCTTTTCTGAAGATGCAGGTACCAGCTTTACAGGCTCAGAACTAGACTTCTTTTCTGAAGCTGAAGGTACCAGCTTTATAGGCTCAGAACCAGACTTCTTTTTGGCTTTAGTTGCAGAAATTGCAGGTAAGGCAGTTATAAATCCCTGTCCATCGACCACAACAACAGGTGAATCAGACTTACTACTCTTCTTACGTACGAAACAGCTGGTTTCCTCTAATGAAACTTTCACCCCAATCTCTGTTGTCATCTTTGATGAGCAGTTCCTAGCCAACAATTCGGTAGATGATTTGGCTCTTTTTTCTAGAAGGAAACTGCCGACTGATGCAAACTTTGCCGCCTTATAGCTTCCACTGCCTTTGCTGTAAGTCCTAATCTTCTCCACACATGATTTCTGACGAAGCATGGGTATTTCTTTCTTAGTGCGGCCTTTTCGAGAAGACACAGATTTTTCTTCAGAGACTAGAGTAAAAGATGTGCTTTTAACGCATGTACCAGAAACATTGCAACCTGAAGCTACTCCTTTTCCTGATACTGTTCCACTACAATGAGTATTTTTGTAGTTAGTTACATTCGGGAAGTTTCCGAATTTGAGTGGCTCACTCTGATCGCTTGACGCAGCGGTTGGTTGAGGCTTTGGTTTATCTGGATCACCCGAGTTTGGAGGATTAGACTCAGTAGCAAGAGATTCAGATGATTCACTCAAACCGAAACCTGGAGACTCAGATGTTTCAACCTCAAAAGCTTGCAAGACATTCAAGTCACACATCAAAAGCCGCCACATGGCTTCAACTGTCGAGAGCGAAGGCCTAACTTCCTTAACAAGACTTATCATTTCCACCAACGTATACCCAACAAGCTGCTGTAAATCCTCAAAAACATAATCTCTTGAACCATCACCATCACCACCACCTTCGCTTCCACCCTTGAGAACTTTCAAGGCGCTAGTGACAATGTTCGACACAAGATCACTACCTCCACAGTACAGCCTACTACCCGAAATAGCTTTCAGAACATCATCATCGGTGTAGCCACAGTCAATAACCTGCTTCATCGCATTGAGGAAAAGCGCAAGCAAATTCGATGACAATAACTCTTCAAGATAACATGCGAATGGGTCATCCCACTCTATAGTTGTATCAGACTCTTCAACTTTGAGCTGATCCTCATTCGACTCATTACCACTCAAATGGTCTTGTAACTCATAACGAGGGAACTCAGTCAAAGAAGCCGCCTTGTCTTGAGAAGGATCAGCTAACTTTCTCTTGTTTTTCCTTCCTTTCTCCTGAGGTGAGACTGTAAAGTCTCCAACTTTGTCACCAATGAGACCACACACATTCATTTCTTCTTGCTTTTTAACCATACTTCCACACCTTTAATCATCCATTACACGTGTAAACAGATTAGGTTAAACACACAGAAAAGCGTATAATAAATATGTCATATTGTTAAATATCTGATTCAATCTCTCAACTAATAAAATCTCACAAACACAATCCAAAAAAGCGATTTTTACTAGTAAAACGTATAGAGAGATTCCGAGAATTCTAAAGCGGTCATACATGATTATTGAGTGCTTAATCGTAATGCAATTTGGAATTTGAACCAACATCGAATCGAGAAAAAAAAGAAATAAACAATCCCATCGTTCACGAGCATGCGGAAACGGATAAACGAAAAATAACGGCGAATAGTGACCTTTAACGAAGAAGATAACGGCTTACGTAGAACGGCGCCGGAAGATAAACCTAAGAGAGAGAGGGAGATCGGTAGCGAAAGGAGGAGACGAAAGCGAGAATATTTGATTAGAGAGTGTGTTAGAGAGCGAGAGACGAAGGCACTGGCCGTAAACTCTCTTTCGGGGTTTGGTAAAATGATGTATTTACTTGTTTTTCTTGAGGGTATTGTCGTCTTTTTCACGAATAGGTCTTAAAAGCGAATCTTTTTTATCGTTTTGTTTAACTCTTTTGTAATAATTATGGCTACAAAATCAATACTGACAAAAAATTGATGAAACACAAAAGGAAAGTGATCTCCAGAAACATAACACAACTCAAACACAATCGCCATCACAACTTGTATATTTTTAAAAAATTAGATTTGAAAATTCGAGTTTTGTAGAAGTTGAGTCAAAAACAAGCCCACATGACCGACCTAACACACGTTACAAGTCTCTGTTGAATATGCAACAACAAAAAAGTCTCAAAGCTCATTGATGGCATTTCACTTTTTCCTCTTTTCACGTCTTCTTTCGGATTCATTCTCTGCGACCACAACGTGAAATTCTGATCCAAGCATGTCGTATACGTCGACATTCTTTGAGTTACTGAGGTTTAGAGTCTCCGTAATCACTTCTACAGTCACGGTGAAGCCTAGGTTAGATAAGACGCGTATGGCATTCCCGATTCTGCATATGTTTTGTCTAGTCTCGAGTGGAGTGTGGCTTTGCTCTTTGGTGGAGGAGGGAGAGATCATCTCTTCATCCTTTTGTTCATCTATCATCATCACAGGATCTCTGACCTCGACGTGTTCCCCGACCCAAATGAAGCCATTGCAGCCGATAATCAAATCAATCCCAAGAGTTTCGATGTAATGGAAATGATGTTTGCTTCTCTTAACCAAGTAAGGATCAACCTTGAGAAGCTGTCCCTTCTCGAGCTGAAAAAGGAGATTCATTGATTAAACCATTGTTTAGACTAACAAAAATGTATAGTTTTTGAGTATGTGAGTAGAGGCAGAACCAACCTTTCCATACTTTTGACTTCTTGCGTGTAACTGCAAGCTGCCATCATGCTGAATGCTGCGTACTTCGGCCTAAGCAAGTTTGTACAGATCAAATAAGCAACTGTTTGTAAATATGAAACATTTTAATATATTATACGACTTACACAAACGATATCATGTTCAACAAAGATGTTCCGCATATTGAGTTCATCAACAGACGTTCTCCGCCTCTGCCAATACAAAGAGACTCAAAATCACTAAGCAAACATACACTATGGGAGGAGCCAAACAACACCCAAAAATTCCAAAAATCTTGGTGAAAGAATCATAACTGTATACCTGACTACCATCAGGCATGTTCATGGAAGAAAGCATTAATACTCCATCCTGAGTAAAGTTAAGCTCTACTCTCCAACGTTTTTGAGCAACCTAGAACAAGTAGGAATAAGCTAGTGTGCAATGTGGTTTTAATCTCTCAATCTAATTTCAAAACCCTAAAAAAAAACAACACAAACCTCAATGACACGGCCTACCACAATATCACCAACCTCAGGCTTATACCTAAACACATTATTATCAATCCATCAGTTCCCACTAATCCTCAGAGTAGCGAATTAATTTCATTTCACAGAGAGAAGAAAAAAAAACAAACTACCTGGCGCGTAAGGTGCGTACATAGACGAGCTTATCCACGCGCTCAACAACTCCACAAACCGTCGCGAGCAACTCCCCGTCGACCTCGGAAGTTCCGTGTCCCCTTCAATCATAAAAACAATCGTTACAAAAAAAAAAAAAACAAATTAAAAATCGAGAACGGAGAAGCTAGGGTTTCGAGAGTGAGATTACTTGAGGAAGGCATCTTCGTGATTTACGGGAATGGTATCTGTAACGATAACAGAAGCGTCGGAGTTTGCCGTAGAAGAGAGTGATTGTAACCGTTCGATTGCTCTCTCATACCTAACCTTCTGTGTCTGCGTAAACGGTAGCTGTAGCTTTCTCATCATCGTTAGAGCTTCTCTACTTTATTCCACAACAATGGCCGATTCAAAATCTAAAGTTTATGAGCGAAGAAGAAGAACAAAAACCCCAGACGCTTGTTCCCTTTGATGAATTCTAGGGTTTTGAATTATTTGTTGGGCCGATTCATTATTTTGGCCCATTTATAAACTCATCTATTTGGGCCTGTTTGGGCTTTATTGAAAACATCATTTAATTAAATAGAATAGAAATTAAAAACAATAAAGAGACAAAACAGTTTGTCTTCGAAGCAATGTTCTGTAGTAAAAACATTCGGTAAAGATCTGAGCTTTTCCGCTATGAACTTCTTCACATCCGTCTTCTCCGACGATCCGGATCCTCCAGGAACCGAATCAGAGTCAGAGGAGCACGAGAATCCAGACCAATCTAATCCTAACGAAGACGACGAAGGCGGATGGAGCTTCGGCGGTCTGATGAAAACCATAGCCGACAGATCCGAATCCGTGATCGAAACATACCGACGAGATCTAGAGGAGTTCGGTACAGGTCTAAAGAAAGAGATCGAAGTCGCGCAGGGATCTCTCGGTACCGTGGGACACGTCATCGACGAGTTTGGGAACACGGTGATAAAAGGAACGGCTGAGATCATCGCTCAGGGTAAAGAAGCGATCTTAGCCGCTGGTAACGAATCTGATTCGTCTGATAACAACAACAATAGCGGTATTAATCGTCGTGATAGCTTTAGCTCGAAGCCGTATAGTCGTTTCGATGCTCAGGTTCGTGTTGTTCAAGGGGATGTTGGTACTTATAGTGAAGAGCCTGAGGATTTGGATGAGTTCAAGAAGTGGGGATCTGAGTTTTCTTTGGGGGAGAGAAGTGAGGAGATGGGGGAGTTGTTGGAGGGGAATGGAGATATGAGAGGAGTGTATAAGAGGGTTGTTCCTAGTGTGGTTGATCATGAGACGTTTTGGTTTAGGTATTTTTATAAGGTTTATAAGCTTAAGCAGGCGGAGGACTTGAGGGCTAATCTTGTGAAACGAGCTATCTCTGCTGATGATGAGGAAGAGTTGAGCTGGGATATTGATGATGAAGAGGAGGCTAGCGAGAAAGTTACTGAAGTTACCAAAGAAGGGAGTGATGATATGGGTAGTGGAGACGTTAGCGAAACTGTGAAGGATTCTGTGAGTGAAAAGAGCGTGAAAGATGAAGTGGCAAGTGCAGGTTCAGTGACTGAAGTGAGCAATGTTGGTTCCAAGACAGAGACTGATTCTGAGGAGAAAAAGGAAACTGGTAGTGAGAAAGTTCCAGAATCAAAAATAGTTGTTGATGCTGCAAAACAAGTAGTTGATGCTACTCCTCCTGCATCTGATGAGTCTTCAATTCAAGATTCGGGCAAAAAACAGGAAGCTGTTCAAGAATCTGATAAAAGTGCTCCGTCACAAGAAGACTCAGATAAACCAGATGGTGCTGCTTCTTCAGTAGTTCAAGGCTCAGGTAAGCCAGATGGTGCTGCTGCTTCATCAACTCAACAACCATCAGAAGAAGAGGATTTGGGATGGGATGAGATTGAGGATATGAGTAGCATCGATGGTAAGGAAGCGAGTAGAACTTCTGGTGGTAGTCCAAACAGAGCTGAGCTGCGTAAACGTCTGAGTGCTGCAGAGGAAGATGAAGAGTTAAGTTGGGACATTGAAGATGACGAAGACGAATCATCAAAAGCTTAATATAGTATCATAGTGGTGTGCTTTCCCCCTCCTGCAGTACTTGTTTTTGTAAGTTTCTGGTCATTTGCCTCCATTCTTCACTTGTTTTCTCTTATACGTTCTGTTTAATTTGATTTGAATATATGCAAACATTTGATTTGTTCTCAAAATAGTATTCCCATTAGATTGAGAATTATATGTATGAGTCTAGTTATCTTTCTGTTTTCTTATGAACTTATGTACCACTTTGATATTCAAGTTATAGATCAAATTACAAGGAGATTCGTTTTTTGTTCTTAGTGAAAATGAAAATAAAACTCCTAATTAACATCCTCACATTCACAAATGAATCTTCAATCCCCCTCAATGGTGTTGAAGATTGACTCCAAATTCCAAATCATCAGGACTAAAAACATTCAACGAAACCTAAGTGCTACCATAATGATAACTGTTGCAGCTCTGAAGTAAACATCTTTGATTCTACTCTCAACTTTATCTGTAGTTTCTTCGCCTTTGATCGCTTTCCTATTGATACCGACTATGGCTCTCCTGAGACTACTCACCGCCCACGAGAGTAATACCAAACTTAAACTAAGACCAGTGTCCAAGATATTGTTTGCACAACAAAAGGGTACTCTTCCAGAAGCAGCACTACAGACCACAGAGAAGAACCCTGCGATGCCAGTTCCAGCAAAGGAGATTGACAGCTGAGTCAAAAGCTCTGAGAGCTCTCCACATGATTTCTTAAGAGATAGCATTGTGGTTTGTCTATGTTGTTCACTGCCTATCATCAATGAGATGAGACTCTCACATGCATGGAGGTGGTTTCTTTTGTAGAGATCATTCTCTCTATCTCTCAATTTCGGATTCTGTTTCTTTCGTGAAGGCTTGGTGGCCCTAGTTTTCTGAGGAGGTAATGTAGCTGCATCGAGGTTAACCTCGTCTTGCTGCAGAGTATCTATGAGTACCTCACTGTCCAATCTGTTAGGACAAGAGAGGGTAAAAGATGAGATTTGTAGACATGGATCAAAAGTTGCAAATGAAGAATTAAAACTACCTAGAAAACTGTGGTACAAGCCGTGAGAGTTTTCTCCATCTAGCTGACTTCTTCAACGTATAAAACTCGGCTGCAATAGAGACCATATCATTCAACTCAGGTCTGCTGCCACTTGAGAAGAGGATTTGAGCATCCGGATTGATGGAAAATTCTTTATTCAAGTCAGAAAACAGAGACATATTATTAACTCCTCTCTCTTTGAGTTTATCTTCTCTAGACAAAAGGAACTCAATCACCTTCTCTTGTCCTGTCTCTGTAAAACACAGAATCAGTCATGTCAATCTATATAAAGGATTAAAATTTGGTGCAAAGTTAGTAGCAAATTAAACGACACACACACATACCATGAACATCCATCATGGTAGAGTCAAACTCCAGAAAGTGATTAGAATTTCTCAAAGAAGAAAAAGGTTTCCATGGCTTCTTCTCCAAGTGTTGTATCTTCAGGTCAAAAGAGTTTTCAGGTATTTTGATCTCTTGTCTTCTTCCTCCATAATTCACCAGATAAGCACAGCTCTTCTAAATCATCCATAGACATAAAAAAAGTATTAAAAGAGGAGAAGAAAAAAACAGAGTTGAAGGATTCAAACTATACAGAACTGAAACAGAGAGAAAAGAACTCACCTTGGTGATATCGTTGCTTCCTTGAACACTAAAACCAAGAGTTGGTGGATATCTATGAGAAGCCATAGAGAACAAACAAAACCTGAATGATTCGAGTATAATAGAGAGAAAGAAAAAAAGGAAGAAGCTTACTATCGTCAGCAACTATATTCCTATATATTGCGCGCGCCACCAGATATTAGGTGACTTGAGTATATCTTTTGTGTTTGGCTTTGGCTGGTAAGGAAAAGACACCTGAGATTTTAAACTAATTTACTCTTTCAGGCCTATATTACTTTAATTATCAAACTCAGACCCAAGACTGTTTAATAATTACATAAATATACATTTTCGTTTCATATACTCGAAATTGGCCCAGAAATCATTAGGTTTTAGTCTCTCAACTCTCGGAAAGTCACCTTCTTTGTTGAATTGCGAGCAGAGGAGAAGTAACCCGCAGAGAAAAATGGTAACTTTGTATGCTTTCTTTTCTCTTTTTCATGAATCTGAGTTTTTGGATTTGACCTAACAAACAAAGGTCTCTTCTTTCTTCGTTTAGCTTATGGTTCTAAGGGGTTTTCGGAGATTTAGGGTTTTTGATTTTGTATCTTTTTTGTTTGTTTGGTGCAGTTGTTCTTCTCATACTTCAAGGATTTGGTGGGACAAGAAGTGACGGTTGAGCTGAAGAACGATTTAGCAATCACAGGGACACTTCATTCAGTTGATCAGTACCTCAACATCAAGCTCGAGAACACTCGTGTTGTTGACCAGGACAAGTACCCTCACATGGTAACTTCCTCTTTACTTTATTAGTCTGAGAGTTTAGGTTTTTTTTAGTCTTTGGGATTCGATGGTTTTGGCCTTGTTGAATTGTTCTTTTCTAGTTTATACAGTAGCAAAAGTTGTGACGTTGATGTCTGGTGTTGATTGTTAATCTCTCTATGTTGTTCCTACACTTGCTTTTCTTCCTCGTTGATAAATTTGAAAGCTTAAAGCTTTGTCTTTAACCCATCGATCTTTTTTTGTTTTGTTACCACTTATGTTTTCTGTAGAACGTAGTCTATTGCCTATTTATATCTCGTTTTTACTATGATCAGCGTTGAGAAAGCTTTTAAGGTGATATTACTGATTCGGTTTACAAACGCCAAGGGACGTTCTAAAGTGATAGGTTAGTTATTATATTGGCACCAATTGACATGTGTTTGCTTGTATACTGTAGTTAGTGTAGCCATTGAGATTTGTCAAGTTTACTCAGAAGGACAATGTTTTTTGCAATTTGTTTGTGGAATTGTACTCATTGTTCTTACCGTAATATGTGTATCTCTGGCACTAAGATTTTTTTCTTCTTCTCACGCTTTCAGAATCTTCTCAAAGATTATTTTGCTTATGTTTTTTTCTCTGCTGAATTGTGTAGCTGTCGGTGAGAAACTGTTTCATCAGAGGGTCAGTGGTGAGGTACGTGCAGTTACCTCCTGATGGAGTTGATGTTGATTTACTCCACGATGCAGCTAGAAGAGAAGCCAGGGGTGGATGATAGATGATTCTGTCAAAAACCGTTGTATCTCCAAACTTAATCTTTTGATTTACAAGACTTGATCTTTTCTTTTTCATGTAATGCCTTGAAATTGAATGAATCTGGTTTCATTATCTTTATAAAAGGATAATCTGTTTTCTCTTTTATTACTCTAATGAAAAACAATTGGAGTCTACAAAGAAATGCCTTTATTATGTCCTTTAGGTTTTTTCCTCTCTTGGATAAAAAGAAAACAGAGGAGAAACATAAGGACTGATTAAGAGGAACTTAGACAAAGAAGTAAGAGTAATTGTCACGGTAGGTAGTGTAACGCGTGATAGGATTAGCATCAGTGAATGGTCTGCTTTGCCAATAGGGAGAATACATAGCTGCTGCAGCAGCCATAGGCGGATATGGTGAGATTTGAGCACCTCTATACATTGCAGGTGGAAACATGGATTGGTAGGGTTGAAATGGACCACCACCACCACATTGTCCATACATTGGCCCCTTTGCAAATGCTGGATACATACCTCTCGGTGGTGCGTAGACGCTCCACCGGTTTGAAGGATTGGGTCCACCATGGTACATGGGCCTAGCGGTCTGACAGTGAGGATTGAGCAAGTTTTTACCATGACCCTTCTCTTTCTTTGTACTCTTGTGTCGCCATGTGATGATGCTCTTCTCCTTTTCATCCTTCTTATCAGAAGTTCCCTTTTCCTCCTTGGAATCTGTTTTCGTATTCCCTTTCTCTGTTTTTTGTTTTTCTTTCTCACCCTCTTCATCAGACTTCTCTGTTCATCAGAAAGTTAAAAACCTTTAGAGTTGTGAACTTTAAATTTGTGATGGGAACAAAACACACTCACCTTTGAGTTTTTTCTTCGCCTTGCATCTTTTGCAGCAACCGATGCTCTTCTCCTTCTTATCCTTCTTGTCTGAAGTTCCATTAGATCCTTTTTCTTCTTTGGCTTCTGTTTTTGGATTCTCACTCTCTGGAACTTGCTTGTCTTCCACGGTCTCTTTTTCAGAGTCCTCTGTTCATCAGAGCCTCATAAACTTTAGATTTGTGAATTATTTAGTAAGAAAACTTATCTGACAGGAACAAGAACACTTACCTTTGAGTTTCTTCGAATTTTCCATCTTCTTTGATTTATCCAGACATTTTGAGGAGCTACCTTTGTTCATTTTCAGATCACGTTTCTGCTGCTTTCAAAGAAAAATAAAAGAGTATGAAACATGAATAACTTTTTGGGTTTACTTATAGAATCGGTTATGTGAAGGTTACAAACCCTAAGCATCCATATCTTATCTTATCTACACAATGAAAGAAATATACCGTCTTTATATTCTTGAATCATGAGAAGATCTTCTTTCCATATATATAATGAAATAAGAAAAGGTTTGATCTTTTGAATCCACAAAAGGCATGTTTTATGGACACCTCTTGTCAGGGTGATCACTGATTTGGATACAAGAGAGAGAGAGAGGCATAAGTGTTGTTAATGCATATCAGATTTTGTGGAAAGTCATTGATTTGATTAAATATTCTTATTTCAAATATGATAACACAATATTTAACATATACAGATATCATAACTTGAGTTTCTAAGCAGTAGCATTGATGGTTGTTTCAAAAAGGGTGCAACTGTACGGCTTCATCTCATACATCACTGTCATTTCTTCTTCTGCTACAACGGTCTCTCCTTCAACAGAGGAAAATCCTGGGAAAGGAAGAGCTGTGTCCACCAACCGCCTCCATTTGCTTCCACTAGGAAGTGAAGGTAAGAGTACATTCTCAGGTTGATCACTTGCATTGAATCCAATGAACAGGTAGAGATAGTTCTTATTATAACAACTGCTACTATCTTTCGTTAACATGATTCCCCAAATCCCATATGATCGATCCTGTTTTTCTAACAACTCTAGAAACGATTTAGGGTTTCAACTCTAAAACTAGTGGCAAATGGTACTCGAACAGTAGAGCTCGCTCAAGAGATAGTGGAGTCTAAATGTTATATATAAATCACACAAACAAACAGAAGATAAAAAAAGTTTTGAAAAACAAAGTACTGTACAGGGAATAAATAATCATCAGACATAGATAGAATCAGCATATAACAAGTTAAAGGCAGTAAATGATGAGTCTGAGAAAACAGCACCGGACCATTCAATGTTCCCCCAAACCTCCAATTCCTCGTCTTCCCAGCGTCTCTCGAGGGAAACCTCAGCAAACCAAAGCTCCAAACCTTGGGACCAGAGGATGGCCATCCTGTCAACATTGAAGGGGCAGAATTTGATGATGTGTTGGTGCTGCAGCTCTTCCAAACCCTTGACTACCTTCCAATCCAAGTCAGATGGAGAACGCCACAGTATTCTCCCTCGGATACCACGGCAGTATAACGTGCGATCAATCAAACGCCAATCTTTTTTGTTTACTGGGTTAAACTCTTTAACTCCGCATGTCCAGAACTTACATTTACTAGTCGAGAAAAAAAAGATTACACCATCCTCATCCACCGCGTAGACATGCTTCTCGTCCAGCGCCATACTTTCTTTGATTTTGAGGGGCATCTTGGGGGTAGACACAGACAACAACTCCCAAGTTCTGGTTTCAATATCATATACCTCCACCCAGTTTGAGGAATCAGCAGCGACATCATCCCAGCACCCTCCAAACACATATATCTTCCTCTTCTTCCCGTCCTTTACCACACAAGCCGATGCTCCGCTTCGAGCCATCTTCATGGGCGCAACGCAGTGCACTTTGTGATTGATACAATCGAAAAACGTGACTTGCGATGTGGGTTTGCCGTCCATGAGTCCGCCGATGGTATAGATTCCCGAATCCATAGTCACGAAACAGGATCCTTCTAGTGGAGCAGGAGGACACAAGCTCTGATGGGCCACCCGTTTCAGGCGACGTTGCACGGGGTGGAAGACGAACCACCGTGGGCTTGGATCTGGATACATGTGCATATATACGTACATATATGAGGAGACGCTATCCTTTCCATACCTCATCAACCAGAGTTTATGGGACCGTGCGACGTACCGATGTCTCCTAGAGACCATAGCTAAGGCGACGAGGTCCAATCTCGGCAACTTAGCCAGGATGTCCACAAACACATCATCTGGCAGCGACAATAACCCACACCTCTCATTCTTCTTCCCACTACATCCCCGAAGAATCCCAAACCTTCCTCTCCCTTTCATTGATTTGATTTGATTAAAGGAACCCTTCTCGCGCTTAGGCTTAGGCTTCGGCTTCGGATTCACACACAACCCTAATTAGAACGCCTCTTCGATTGTTTGTTATATATACAATTGTCCGTCTGAAAAAAAAAAGGAAAAAGAAAAAGAAAAAGGAAAGAACATTGAATAGATGAACCAAGCGGTTTAGGACGGTTCAACTATAAAATCTAATTTCAGATCCAAAGTCCACTTTAAGAGATCAACACAAAGCTAGCGCCTCAAGTAGTGTCTTCCAGAGAAATCTCAAATTGAAAGAAGCTGATAGAGATACTCTCTGCGATGCCGCCGAAGAGAAATTTCAGGAAACGTCCATTAGAGGAGGAGGAGGAAGAAGATGACCAAAGCAAACTCGCAATTTCTGAAGAAGAAGAGAAACGAAGGTCAGTCACAGAAATACCAAAAAATCATGTTTTCTTTAGGGTTTTTATTTTGTTTCTTTGGTTTTCTTCAATTCGTTTGATGGGTAGTTAGAAAGTTTAGGTTTTTGGGTTAATTTGGGTGAAATTGCAGATTGGCATTGGAAGAGGTGAAGTTTTTGCAGAAGCTGAGAGAGAGGAAGCTAGGGATCTCAGCCTTGTCCACTGCGCAGAATAGCATGGGGAAAGCGAAAACAGCAGAGAAAGCTGAAGCTGAAGGAGAGAAAGAGGAGCTTGTGTTGCAAGATACTTTTGCTCAAGAGACTGCTGTTTTGATTGAAGATCCCAACATGTAAGGAAGGGTCTATTCTCTATTCAGACAAACATGTAAAAGCTAGTGAGTTTTTTTTTTGTAAGCGTTTATGGTTATGTTTTTGATTCAATAGGGTAAAGTACGTTGAACAAGAATTGGCGAAGAAAAGAGGGAAGAGTCTTGAGGATGCAGAGGAGGTTGAGAACGAGTTGAAGCGTGTGGAAGATAAGTTGTATAAGATACCTGATCATCTTAAAGTAAGTTTTGCTTTTTAGGGGTTTAATGTGTTTGATGTAACAATGTAGCAAGAGTTATAAGACTTTGAACTTTCTCAGGTTAAGAAGCGTAGCTCTGAAGAGAGCTCAACACAGTGGACTACTGGAATAGCAGAAGTTCAACTCCCTATCGAGTATGATGAATAACTTTTTCCATAGATTATGTTTTTGTGTTTGTTTCAGAGATTAATGGTTTGATTCTTCAACATAGATATAAGCTGAAGAACATTGAAGAAACAGAAGCGGCCAAGAAGCTTCTGCAAGAGAAGAGGCTTATGGGTCGTTCAAAATCAGAGTTCAACATTCCCTCTAGTTACAGTGCCGATTATTTCCAACGCGGGAAAGATTATGCTGAAAAGCTCCGAAAAGGTTTTGTTTTATGGATCCTTTTTTTTTCTCTTTGTTAGTCCTCCTATGCGTTTGGATTCATGTACTGATCAACTTTTAAAACACGCAGAACATCCTGAGTTATACAAAGATAAAAGGCCTCAAGCTGATGGCGAAGCACCTAAACCGTCTACTAACCTAACGATTTCATGTATTTTTGAATTATGTGACATTTTCATTCAAGAAATCAAGTTTTTATTTACAGTGTCCATAGTTATGGTGTGGTTTTAGAAGGTAAGGTTGATTTTAAAGCTGGCCAAACTGCCAATTTGCAGGAACAACGTTGAGTGCTGTCTTGCTCTTACCGGTACTGGTTTCGATTTTGAATGTTAGACTTTGTCCCCACTTTCTTGACAATGTTTCATTTATACATGTATTTTATTATTGGAAAAACTTGTATATAGTTTTGTATATAGAAATAATAATAAAGTCGGTGCGCCATCCACATTTTTAAATTTTAAGTCCAAAAAATTGGGCCCATAAAAATAGTTTGGTTATCGTATTTGGTACCTCCCGAATTTTTTTTTTGAGCAAACATCATGATCATTAATAAAGAGTCTACACTCCCAAATGGGAAGAGGTTACAACAGCACTAGACAGAGCCAACTTAGCTACCAAGTCAGCTTCCATATTCTGAAGACGGGGAATAAACAAAAGGACAGAGAATCAAAGTACGAACTAAAGTGGTAGATATCAAACACAATACCATGTAACTCTGGTCTTGACTCTTTCCTCTTCAGCATGTTGACGAGGGATAAGGAATCCGACAGAATCATAAGGGATTTGATGTTTGAAAACGCAGCTTTCATTACTACCAAACGAACAGCGAGGGCTTCAGCCATCAACGCAGACGATACAAAGGTTCGAGACTTAGAAATCTCAGGGAGACGGGTCGCTAGTGGAGAGTCAAAGAAAAAACCTCCTAAGCCGCAGACACCAGTGGTAGGATCCCATGCTGCATCCACATGACATATATTATCAGAAGGGACACGTGAAGAGGATGTCTGTCGGGGGCAGAGGCTCAACGAAGAGTCAGATTCCGGTGTAACAATCATAGACTCTTGCCATTTTCGGGCATCACCAATTGCTTTAGCAATAATTTCTATATCAGAGAAAGAGCGGTTATCGAAGCACAGTTTGTTCCTAGCTTTCCACAAATTCCAGAGCAACCACGGCCAGAGAGGGACCCTGAGCCCTGTAGGAGGAAGATTTCTAGCATTCAGACAGATCGCCAAGAAGACATAAATCGATGGGCACAGGTTGGAAGGAGCTTCACTAACAGGAGCCAATTTCCAAACGCGTTGTGCCATCGGGCAGTGGAGAAAAAGATGGAGATCGTCCTCAACGCCTCCGCACAGCTTACACGGAAAGGATGTGATTCCTCTGTTTGCCAAGTTCAGGCTCACCGGAATAGCTTTTTTCATCCACCGATTTTATTTATATGCAAAACTATATATATATGTTATTAGTGTGAAGTTTGGGCTCACAAAATTCATATGAAGTTTCCGTATGGCAATCATTGTTTCTGTTGGGAATTTGAATTTAATATTCCATCTTACATAATTGAGTCACTGACACAATTAAGGAGAAAAATAATCTTACATGTAGTAGCTTAAGTATGATAGCTCAATTCCACACGCGTGTCATGCTTATATGCAAAAGCAAATAATTAGTGTGGTCATTTCGTATTGTATCATTCAACCATAAATCATATCCATGTTATAAAACTGAAAATATATATATTTCCTTCAATAGTATGGACTAATCTATAATGACTTCTTAACCCAAAAGATATATAATGAAATGACTCATTCGAAAGAGATGTTACCTTTTTTTTGTGCACAAAAGAGATTTTACCCGCGGAGATAATTTTTTTTTTTTTGGTCAAAACCCGCGGAGATAATTTTCTTAAACATTCACTTCATAAAATAGATAAAATATTAAAAAAATTAAAATTATTTCCTCAACAGAAATTCAATAATCGTTTAATGGTAAATGAAGATATACGCTTCTTGACCTAAGATAAGAAATCTAGTACGTCGACCAAAAAGAAATTTCTATATATTTCTTCTTTGGATATGTTCATTTAGTCTGGAAAGTAATAGTTTTCTTAACCCAAAAATACACTAGTCCAGCAAAATGATTTTGTTGAACCTTGAAAAAATATATATATTTAGCGCGTTCAAAAATACGTGTACCTATATTTTCAAATAATTAGGCAATATGGGGACAAAATAATATTTTCAAATACGTAAACACTAAGACATCTGTAATGTATATATAACACATCCACATACAAATGTCTTTCAGTTTCATGTTGTGTCATTCATTCTATTCTATCAAGTCGGCAAAAGCTTCACAATGTTAAACATCCTTTCGTTTTTCTTTTTCCTTCTTCTGTTTCTCGTCGGGAACAACCGCATTAGCGTCGCTGAAAAGGCAGGCTTCGTCGGGAGAAACGGCAAGCAGTTCGTGTTGAACGGGGAACGTGTTTACCTAAACGGCTTCAACGCTTATTGGATGATGACCACTGCTGCTGATACTGCCTCTAAAGGAAGAGCCACCGTTACCACGGCGCTCCGGTAAGCCTCCGCCGTTGGGATGAACGTCGTTGCTAGGATTTGGGGTTTCAACGAAGGAGATTACCTTCCTCTTCAGATCTCACCGGGCTCCTATACAGGCCCGGCCCTACAAAAACAAAGGCCGGAAGCTCAAAAAATAAAAAGGCCGCTCGGTGGTATTGAACCTGTCACCTTAAGGTGAGTTAATAGCTAATTTGACCATTTTATCTACTTGCACACTTTAGAAATAGGCTGAAATATTGATTATTTTATCGAGGGCCGGAATCGGATGCTTCTAATGCTTATGCCCAGGGCCACTACTGCTCCTATAGTGAAAGACGTTTTCAAGGTAACACTCATCATGCATATATACACACATATACACAGTGGCGGAGCCAGCCCGAAGGTTCATCAGGGGCATTATAAAATTTGAACCTAAACATAGGGGGCATTAGAAAATATTTTAACATTTGCTCATAAAACATCAAAAAAATCAATGGAAATAATTTTTTTTCCAACAATTCATATGGGGCATCTGCCCACTTAACCCCTTCTCTACATCCGCCACTGCATATACATAAAGGCACATAATTCATAATTTTTTATGGCTAATTGTCAAATTAACTGATGAAGGTTTTTTAAATTGCCTATTTTCTATCACCTGTGTAAGTTTTAAGGATCTAACAATTTTGTTATTCTATAGATTATTATTTATATATATTCTAAATCATGATCTCACTGTTAGTTACTATTTTAATAAATTTGTAATTTTATATCACATATGTTAATTATTTTACTTTTAAAATAATACGAAATATAAATCAAGATTGATAGGTGTTTCTTTGTAGTTTATTTCTTGTTTGTTGATCTAAACTAAAGGATTCAAATTTCAAAATATTACTTTCCGACAAAAGAAATTCAAACCTTTTGTATTTGCTTGAAAAAAATGGTCGTGTCCTTATCACACGGTAATATAAAGTCGATAATGCCGAAATGACAAAAGATATATAGTTCTTTAGTTTAGTAAATCATATTATTTTATGTAAGTTGGTACAAGATGCCTGTTTGTTGACTAATTCAGGAATATACCGTAGTTGATTAATCAAACATCAACAACTAATTATAATTGCTAATTGCGTTTTGTGAAGTACTAATATAAAGTCTGCTGTGAGCAGGGACTAGACTTTGTGGTGTATGAAGCTGGAAGATATAAGATTAAGTTAATAATTAGTTTTAGTCAATAATTTCGAAGATTATGGAGGGAGAAAGAAATATGTGGAATGGGCCGGTTTAGATGAACCGGATGAGTTCTACACAAACTCGGTTGTCAAGCAGTTCTACAAGAACCACGTGAAGGTTAGTATACTATATAACAAGATATGATAAAAAAGTTAATTGAATATGTTAATTGGATAAGTATCAGTTATATAAATCGAGAATTCTAGTTCATCATCATCATACGTTACACGCAACGTTAAAGGCAAATAGTTTAGGTTCTTGGGTAGGGTACACGTAAACGAGAGATAACCGATGGTTTTGACATGTCAAATGTTAAGATTAAAATCAGTTAAAGAATCAGCAGTACGACAAATGTACCAATCCAACATGAATTGGAATGTTTGTATATTCGTTGCCGACTGTTTTGCTATATGGTTGCTTAATGTATGCCCATTGTCTAGGAACTTCATTTGCATTCTTTAGAAATAACATCGAACTCTAGCAAGCCTTTTATGATAGGTCGTAACATGTATTCAAATACTTTGTTTTACCAAGCTTATGAAACCAATTTATTTGCAGGTTCGTGGCCCAACATGTGTAAGAAGACTCGTGAATTATCTCAACCAGAAGAAACAAGAAAGTGGAATAAAATAACATATAATGATCTTGGATAGATGAACCAAGCGATCAACACTACAAAGCCCATTTAAGAGATCAACACTACAAAGCCCATTTAAGAGAACACAAAGCGCCTTTAAGTAGTGTCTTCTCCTTCGGTTGAGAAGAGGGAAATCTCAAATCAAATTGAAAGAAGGTGATAGATACGATGCCGCCTAAGAGAAATTTCAGGAAACGTCAGGAGGAGGAAGAAGAAGATGAAGAAAGCAAACTCGCGATTTCTGAAGAAGAAGAGAAACGAAGGTAAGTCACAGGAATACAAAAATCATATTTTTTTTTTAGGGTTTTTCTTTTGTTTCTTTGGTTTTCTTCAATTCGATTGATTGGTAGTAAGAAATATTAGGTCTTTGGTTGAATTTGCAGGTTGGCTTTGGAAGATGTGAAGTATTTGCAGAAGCTGAGAGAGAGGAAGTTAGGGATCTCAGGCACGGGGAAATCGAAACCAGCAAAGAAAGCTGAACCGGAAGGAGAGAAAGAGGATCCCAACATGTAAGATTCTATTCTCTATTTAAGGTAGTGAATCTGTTACTGTATTTAGGGTTATGTTCCTCGTATTGATTGAATAGGGTTACATTACCTAGTAAGTTTGCCTTTGTTAGCTCTTACGGCTGTGTTTTTTATTCAATAGGGTAAAGTACATCGAGCAAGAACTGGCGCAGAAAAGGGGGAAGAGTCTTGAGGATGCAGAGGAGGTTGTGAACGAGTTGAAGCGTTTGCAAGATGACTTGTATAAGACACCTGATCATCTCAAAGTAAGTTTTGCTTTTTAGGGGTTTAATGTGTTTAATTCAACAATGTAGCAGGATTTATAAGATTTTGAACATTCTCAGGTTTGGAAGCATAGCTCAGAAGAGCGCTCAACACAGTTGACTCATGGAATAGCTGAAGTGCAACTCCCTATCGAGTATGATGAATAGTTTTTTTTCCATAGATTGAAGATTAAGTGTTTTTTGTGTGTTTGAAAGACTAATGGGGTTTTGATTCTTAACATAGGTACAAGCTGAAGAACATTGAAGAAACAGAAGCGGCAAAGAAGCTTCTGCGAGAGAAGATGCTTATGGGTTGTCCAGAATCAGAGTTTAAGAAAAACTTTTTTAAGAAGAAGTATGGGAAAGGTTGGACTTTTGTGGAGAAAATGGGGTATGAGGTGTTAAAGGGCCTTGGCAGAAATGGCCAAGGCATCAAATATCCCATAGAAGCATTGGAGATTCGTCCAAAAAATCAGGGTTTGGGGTATTGTGGCTACAGTGAAGAAGACTTAAACACAGAGGCTGTTCGATTCGTGGCCAAGTCTGAAGCTTATGAAGCAAAACCAGAAGTGAAGAAGAAGGCTGCCTTAGTGTCATATGATGATTCAAGTGGCTGCAATGATGAAGACATGAAGACAGAGTCTGATCGATGCTTGCCCAAGTTTGAAGCTTCTGAAGCAAAACCAGAAGTGAAGAAGAAGGCTGCCTTAGTGTCATATGATGATTCAAGTGGCTGCAATGATGAAGACTTGGGGTATTCTGGCTGCAATGAAGAAGACTTGGTGGGGTATTCTGGCTGCAATGAAGAAGACTTGGTGGGGTATTCTGGCTGCAATGAAGAAGACTTGGAGACAGAGGCTGATCGATGCTTGGCCAAGTTTGAAGCTTCTGAAGCAAAACCAGAAGTGGCCATAGTGTCATATGATGATTCAAGTGATATAGAAGATGAGCAATGGAAGAGGTGAAACTGAGAGAGAGAGCTGAGAGAGATGAAGAAAAACTTGTTGAGTTTGCGATGAGGCCACCGTGTAAATGCACATGATTTGCTTTTTCCATTACTGTATATTACATATAAACATCATTTTACATTGTATTCTATGAACATGATTTGCTTATGAACATCATTTAAGTCATACTGCACCGTCTCAACTAGTTAAGTCAAAAAAAGAAAAGCGTACGAGATGGACAGGAGCTTTGATGTGTTTGACAAGAGCAGAAGTACACTGGTCTTCTCTGCAGTTATGTTGATGATGCCTCCGTACATACTGCACCGTCTCTACTCCACCGTACATCTCCGTGCCTCCGTCCATATCCTCTTCCGATTTTAGTCTCTACTCTCTTTCTTGGAGGGAATCTGTGAAGTGAATGGATGTGTAGAAGAAAACAAACCAAATATAATAAGGGCCACGAAAGATGCTTTGGTATGCAAGAAAAGAAAAAAAGCATTTAATCTAATCTTTTCCCCCAATAATCAATGAACCCCACCGACATTTTATAACCCTTTATTATTGTGTGCCTAAACTCTTTTCTTTAGCTTCTTCTCCTTCACACGTTTTATTAATCTTTCTAATAAGTTTTCTTTTAAACATAACAAAACAACAAAAGATTAATCAACTGTTGTTTCTTGTATGACTTTCTCAGACCTAACCCGGATAAAAACAAACCAATGCTTCGAATATTATTTGTTATGATGAGGTAAGGTCGTTTCAAAACTTTAGAGATATTTTGTTAATCAAATATAGAAAAATAGAAGTAGACCATAGTGTTGATAATACTAGAGTTTGTTTTTATTGAATTCGTAGTCTTGTAATATTTGTGTATAATCAACCAAACATAAACATAACATCAATTGCTCTGTAAGATGCACGCATACCAAATTTTTTTTAATGTGTTATATCGACGGGTTTGTACATTGTTTAGTATGCTAGTTAGAGTAGATAGAATATGCTGAGTTATATTCTAGCAAGTAGGTCTTCAGATAATACTAAAGTCCCAAAGGAAAAAGGATAGGTTCATACATTGAATTTGAGACTTTTTCATGCATCGGGTCCCATATGTCTTGAACCATATAATAAGTATAATTCCTGTTGTTGTTGTTGTCCTTGAATCTAGCTGTTAAAAATATTAACTGCATTATGATAATATCTACTTACGGTAATACCATATATATCGTATTAATAGTATACTACCATGAAAGAATTTTTGTATTGGTCGGAAGATTTATTGTGATAATGGTGTACGAGAGGCGGAGCTTCTGATTTGTTAAATCTCTTAGTGAAAACGGTTCAGTCAATTGTATATATGTCAATGGTCGGAATCGGGAACCAATAACATGTGTTCATGTTCCTGCTCGAAGGAACAGAGGATGTAAAAAAAGGTTAAGAGCAAGTAAAAAAGATTCAAATACCGCCATTTCAAAATAAAATAAAAATACCATGCAAAGTTATGAAACGCAAATCACGCTGCCAAAGTTCCAAACCAGTAATTTTTATGCAAAACTATTATAACTAGTGATTTCAACTTTTCTTTTCTCAGAGAGGACCCATCTTGACTCACTTTTTTCAAACAAAACATAATACACTTCTAAGATAACTAAAATTAAATGATAACCTTATCTCCCAACTTACGAATTATGGTTTAAGGTTTAAGATATAAGAATCTCTCTATCTTGTAACCATTTTAGCCAACACAAATAATAATACACAATATCTCGACTATATTAATGCTAAGTGATAGTGCAGTACTTATAAGATTAAAGAGCGGTAGTTGACAATAATTATAGTAACCTTATCGGATAGGATATGACCAGCTTTGGGCATTAAGCATGCAAATGAAGGCAGAAAAAGATGGCTTTCACGTAAATTATAACGGTCACATGATAAAGCGACCCGACTTTTTTAGTAACAGCGACATTACAACTAAATATGGTCAAACTATAGGAAAATTGTTTACCTGTCGTTTTATGATTGGGTTATTGTCTGACTAGTTTCATGTTCACTTATTGTGGCGTCTCTCTTGAAACTGATATTCCTTGTAAATCTACTTTTTTGCTTTACTTTGATAACTTTTTTGCCGGCCAATAGATTCTCGAATCTGTTCAAGCGAATTAAAAAGGAAAGAAAGAAAAACGTTTGAAATGTAATTTACTTTTTGCTTTTATCCGCAACCACCGAACCAATGGTACATGGGCCTAGCGGTCTGACAGTGAGGATTGAGCAAGTTTTTACCATGACCCTTCTCTTTCTTTGTACTCTTGTGTCGCCATGTGATGATGCTCTTCTCCTTTTCATTCTTCTTATCAGAAGTTCCCTTTTCCTCCTTGGAATCTGTTTTCGTATTCCCTTTCTCTGTTTTCTGTTTTTCTTTCTCACCCTCTTCATCAGACTTCTCTGTTCATCAGAAAGTTATAAACCTTTAGAGTTGTGAACTTTAAATTTGTGATGGGAACAAAACACACTCACCTTTGAGTTTTTTCTTCGCCTTGCATCTTTTGCAGCAACCGATGCTCTTCTCCTTTTTATCCTTCTTGTCTGAAGTTCCATTAGATCCTTTTTCTTCTTTGGCTTCTGTTTTCGGATTCTCACTCTCTGGAACTTGCTTGTCTTCCACGGTCTCTTTATCAGAGTCCTCTGTTCATCAGAGCCTCATAAACTTTAGATTTGTGAATTATTTAGTAAGAAAACTTATCTGACAGGAACAGGAACACTTACCTTTGAGTTTCTTCGAATTTTTCATCTTCTTTGATTTATCCAGACATTTTGAGGAGCTACCTTTGTTCATTTTCAGATCACGTTTCTGCTGCTTTCAAAGAAAAATAAAAGAGTATGAAACATGAATAACTTTTTGGGTTTACTTATAGAATCGGTTATGTGAAGGTTACAAACCCTAAGCATCCATATCTTATCTTATCTACACAATGAAAGAAATATACCGTCTTTATATTCTTGAATCATGAGAAGATCTTCTTTCCATATATATAATGAAATAAGAAAAGGTTTGATCTTTTGAATCCACAAAAGGCATGTTTTATGGACACCTCTTGTCAGGGTGATCACTGATTTGGATACAAGAGAGAGAGAGAGGCATAAGTGTTGTTAATGCATATCAGATTTTGTGGAAAGTCATTGATTTGATTAAATATTCTTATTTCAAATATGATAACACAATATTTAACATATACAGATATCATAACTTGAGTTTCTAAGCAGTAGCATTGATGGTTGTTTCAAAAAGGGTGCAACTGTACGGCTTCATCTCATACATCACTGGTTGATTCATTTCTTCTTCTGCTACAACGGTCTCTCCTTCAACAGAGAAAAACCCTGGGAAAGGAAGAGCTGTGTCCACCAACCGCCTCCATTTGCTTCCACTAGGAAGTGAAGGTAAGATAACATTCTCAGGTTGATCACTGGCATTGAATCCAATGAACAAGTCATTGTTCTTTGGTTCGGTTGGCTCAACCAGTGATGCAGTTGTTTCTTCCTCTGTCTCTGCTTTGATCTCCAACGCCAAGAATTTGGAACCAGGGTTTTCCCACTTCGGAGTTGTTTGGTCGTTTGCATACCAAACAATGTTCTCAGGTTTCAAGAAGTTCCTCCTTTGAAACACATCGCTTCTCCTTGTTCTTACTGAAGTCATGAAAGATATGAACTGCGTGATCTGTACACCGAAGGCTGAAGCTAACATGTTCCAGTCAAAAGGTTTCCGTGATGTCAACAAAGGCGAGCCCTTCGTAGAGACTCCACATTCATCTCCCATGTTGAGCACAGGGATGCCAAGTGAAATGTACTGTATAAACAAGAAGTTGCGTATCTGTTTGAGCCTTGTCTGAAGAACAGCTGATTTGTTTGTTGCTCCTTCTTCCCCACAGTTCCAGCTTAGCTCTGAAGCTAGCTCAGGGCCACTGAAACTGACCAAGTCAACAAGAGAGAGTCCTGAGTTTCTTGAAATGTAGTTGAAGGAGAAAGCAGGACCTCTTCCATCAGTGAATACGTCACCACTTCCACAAATTCTTGTAGCCAGATCGCTAAGAAGGCCTCTTCCCCTCACAAAGTTCCGTACATTCCGACAGTATCTTGTATTGAGTTCCCCCCATCGCGTCCAATGAGGGAACCTTACTTCCTTTGGCATCATCTTCATGTCATGTGGATCCCAACAATCAGCAATGAGTTTTCTCCCCGCAAGCAGCGGATCAAAAGATATTGCTTCAACCAAGGGAGGGCGAGAAAGATGTTCACCGTGGACACCTCTCAAGAGAGAGGAAGCATTGATGAAACAAAACCCATCTACATGAAACTCAGTCACCCAATAACGCAGGCTCTCTAAAATCAACTGCTGAACAACAGGAAAGTTACAGTTCAAGTAACTCTTAGAATCTAAATCATAATCTCTTCCCTTGTAATAATAAGAACTGTCATCAATTCCACGAAGAGCTCCAGACTCTGCAGTATGTGTAAAAACTACTTCCAAAAGTACCTCAATCCCCTCACTGTGCAGTCTCTTTACCATCTCTTTCATTGAGTTAACTGCTGAATCATGGCCATACATGTCCATAGGTGAAAAGAAATGAAATGGGAAGTAAGGACCTTGTTGCTCGGAGAAGGAGAATATTGGCTCCAAGAGAACAGCGTTGGTTCCAAGGCTTTTCAAATGGTTCACTTTCTCAGCTACACCGGTAAAAGTCCCTGCTATGTTACTTGGCAACTTGGAAGACTTGTGTTGTGTAAAACCCTTTATATTCAACCTGTAAACGATGAGTTTCTCAAGTGGTATGTTTGGAGTGACATCTCTTCCCCAGTCAAAAGAAGGGTTTTTGAATAAGCTTCCAAGAAACTTCTGAGAGACTGATTTTTCAATAACTGTAACATATGGATCCAAAACAACATTCTCAGCTTCAACTTCTTCTTCCTCAGAGTGAGTAGATTCCTTGCAACGGTACCCATATCTAACAAACTCCCATGTCTTCTCAACTGAAGCATGCCAAACATCACCTGTTCTGTTGACATAAGGATCAAGATCAAGCTCTAACGCAGGCTTATCAGTTGTGGTATCATCATACAAGCATAAAACCACACTCTTTGAATTTCTTGAAAAGAAAGCGAAATTCCATGAGGTATCATCTCCTCCAGAAGAAAGGCCTAATGGCAAGGGATGACCAGGAGTAAAACCAACAGGGACACAGAAGTTTGTGTCCCTATGAGTCAACCTTTCTAGACCATTCGGATCCTTCAGGCGGAACGATAAGTAGAAAGGAGATTCTTTCCCATCAAACTCTAGCCCAAGCATTGACTCAGACAAGGAGCTTTTCACAAAGGGAGTTTCTGTTGTGTGGGTTTGTGAATCCTGAGACGACCTTTCGAAATCCAGAGGCAAGAAACAAGAAGAGTCAGACCTGTAGACACCCCAAACCATCACCAGTCTACTCTTGTCATCACCACCACTTAGTTCCAACGATGAGACATAAACCATGATACTGTACTTTTCCCTCTTCTTTTCAACTTTAACTTTAACAAGAGCACCAGATTTGGTCCTGAACGAATAGGATGTTACCTTCTTTAGGTCATCGACCTGAGTACTTTTCGTAGATACCTCTTCCTTGAGTTCGGTAAAAGTTTTTGAAACACAAATCTTACTCAACCGATAACTTTGCAAAACCAAATCCCCAGAGATATGTTTTCTTGTAACTCTCAGGGTCTCAGATCCACGTTGAGTCTTGTTCTTACAAGTTGAAAAACAGGTAAAAGGAAATCTCCATGCTTCAGTGATGCCATTGTTAAGAAGACAACAAGATCCTATCCCAGCTGATAGTGACCAAACAGCCATTTTTTTCAGAAATAAGGCACAAAGCTTCTCTCTTATCCCTAAGAACTTAAGCAGTGAATATCCCTGAAATCACAAGTAGAACAACAAACCTCTTATGTTATTATTGTTAAGAAGACAGATCAAAAAACCAAAGCTCTTTTCTTAAAACTAAACGAAAGAAAAACAGATACCAATTGACACAAAGTAAGAAAATTGATCTGAGATTGCAAGATTTTAGCAGATAATGAGCGTCAAATCAGCTAAATAACCATCTCAAAACTAAAATCACACAAAACTTAATTAGCAAAGTTTTCTCTCTTTCTAAAAAAAAATGGGCATTTCACATTGAAGGAGATGAAGTAGTAGAACCAACATTAACAAGAAGTTCCAGTGATCAAGATAAATCTAAAGACTTTAGGGAACAAAAGAAAGCGTAAAGAAGAGACAAAGGTGTTTCAAAAAAAAAAAAAAAATCGAGCTTACTGTCTCATAAGCATCATCAACGCCAATGAAGTAGAACACGAGCTTATAAGACGCAATTGAGACATTGATATCTGAGTATACCCATCTGTGGTAATGAGATTGAGTGTGTCCGTTGATATTTTTGCGAGTGAAGGTTTTGTCTTTTTCCTTTTTCATGTTTTGTGGCTTCTCTCAACGGACCGTCCAAGTTTAAGCCTTTTCTTATTTGTTTCTGTTGTTGGTCCCACCGCATCTAAATATAAATGTGTTTTTTTTTTCTTTTTTTTAAGAAGTATTATGTCATTATTATGTTAAATGTGTGAGTTGGAATACTGAAAAAAACTATATATAGTATTATATACAATAGCTCATAAGTGATCTGTTTTGTTGGGTTTCAAAATACACAGACAGAAGCCATAGCTCATACAATCCCTGATCCAAACATGGTCGCAAATCCATTTTATTCTTTAGGTTATAGCGTTTTATGTTTCAATACCAACCCTATATGTACATTGCTTCAACACCAAGCCACCAATCCCACCTTAAAGTTCAATCTCCTCGTCAAAGATGTCCCAACCATCTTCAAGAAGCTCTCTAAGATCATTTTTCTCTTTGTTCATGGAGGAAGATGCTTCTTCTTCTTTTAAGCACTTGTTGTTGCTTGAGGTTTCAAGCATTCCATTCAACGGCTCAGTTGGAGTCTCAAGCACCAAGCTCCTCATAGATGATCCGCATGAAATAGTTAGGCTTGAGGTGGCTGATTTTGTTATTGACACTCTGTTGTCAAATTTTTCTTTCAACAGCTTCACATCTTGACATATGATAGAAATTTCTCCTCTGCTCAAAGAACAAGCAAGAGATTAGAGAATGCGTGTTCTAAACCTATGTACCAATGTAGGGTTGTTGGATCGAGGATGGGACTTACTGTAAGGAATCAACGACCTGACCACGATCCATAAGAAACTCTCGAAGCTGCAGTGGTCGCAAAAAGGAAAAAGTAAGTATGCGAACGAGAGGAAACTTTGGTAGAGTTTATTATTAACAGTAAGTTTTTACCTTGGAGTTTTGCTCTGCCTCTTGCTGAAGAAGCTTTGATTCTTGGGCTACTTTCTCCATGATGGCCTCTTGTTCAGCAAGTGCCTTCAGTGCTGAGACTTCTTTTTCTTTCTTTTCTTGCTCAGCAGCCTTTTTCATCTCCAATGCTGCCGCTAGTCTTATCTCAAGAGTTTCACGCATCTACAAAGACATTTACAATTAGATAAATCTCTCTTCAGTGTGAAACATAAAAAAACAAGGGCAAAAATTATAGTTAGCTGATGTAACATGCCTCATCAAGGACATGAAGAGATTTGTTTCGTTCTTCTGATAAGTTGAGCAATCGGTTTTCAAGCTCTTTTGCTTCAGTTGCCAAAATTGATTTCTCTCCATATACTTCTCCAGCATGCTGCAAACATCATATAGTAAATTAGTTCTCATCACATAAGAAAAATTAATATAATAGCCTTACCATGTCATTCGCTTCCTTGGCATGTCTCAGTATCTTCTTGAACTCTTCAACCTTTTCAAGAGTATCCAAACCTCCCCTAGCAGCTTCTGACTCTGACTTCTCCGCTTCCTTCTCTTCAAGTTCAACTTCTTTCATCAGATTTGTAACCGAGTCCATCACAGCGAGAAAGGTTTTCTACATCATTGCACAATGACAAAAAGAAGCATGTCTCAGTTATCCATCACAAGCTATCATTAAGGGAAACATATTTTCTTGAGCCTCAGAACCAGTGAAGCAGAAACAGGCTTAAAGAGTGTCAGTACCTTGTTAGTTTTGGCGTCTTCGATAATCTCTTCAAGGTGATCAACACAGCATCCATGAGTTGGTGAGCTAAAAGCACTATCTACTTCAGTATCTCCATTTACACTGGCCAACGAACCCTTTGATTCATTGTCTCCATTTACACTGGCCAATGAACCCTTTGATTCATTATCTCCATTAACACTGGCCAATGAACCATTTGATTCAGAATCACTGTTTTCACTGGCCAATAAACCCTTTAACGGCTGGTCATTTGTACTCCCAGTCGCAACTTCAAAACAAGATACCTGCTGTATGTCCGTCATATTCTCTACAGGAGTTATATTGACCGGCTTATGTTCAGCATTTAGTGAACCAACGCTTTTAATTGAACCTTCTTGATTCCATGTCATCAGCTCTTGCCAAAAATCTCTAGTTGATTTGAGGTTTTCTTGTGGGACAGAAGGGACCACTGAGACAAGATCATCCTCTGGAACGTGAAACAGGTCAATTTTCGGTGGAAGGCTCGGAACATCAAAACACTTGCCAAAGAAATCATAGTCTCCGTATTCTTTTCCAGGAGCCTTTCCTAGAGATTGGACTTGCTCACTTTCAACATCTTTGGGGCAAACACCAGGACCAACATTTGTGAGCTCGTTCCCATTAGAGACCGTTTTAGTACTTGAATAACTGGTAACCAAGGGAATAGTTTCTGAAGAAGAAGAAGAAGAGGTGCTGGACTTGGAAGCAGAAGCTACAAGCAGACCATGGCGGCTAGAAACAACATCTTCCAAATCACGTTCTACTGCAATTTTTAAACAAGGCATCGTATCAACAAGAATGACAAAAACCTTTGAGGTGTGAATGTACAAGCCAGAGTAGCAGCAAGGTTGTGTTTTTTTTTTTAAGGACTAAAGAAGTAACCTTCACGTTGTGAAACACTTGGGGATGGAGTGGAATGGTATTGGGAGGGCAAGGAAGGAAGAATGTGAGAGAGAACCACAGAAGCAGCCTCATCAGCATCCTTGGGATGTTCAATTGCAACAGCTCTCAACATTCTTGCATCTATCTGTAGTGGAACATTTATGTACAACAATGTGGTTTCTTCGATAAGATTACAAAAATAAAAAATTATCTTAAAGTTTGTTTTTTTTATTTTAACCTGAGGAAATATCTCAGTAAGAGATCGATAAACAGAAGTGAAACCCATTAGTGAAGGAAGGAAGGCTCTGCAGAGAAAACAAAACCATGAAGAAAGTATTAAACTTTTATCAACGTCTTAGTGTTTCCACGATCATAACATATTGCAGAAAGAAATAAAATACTAAAACTCACAACTCTGTTTGTCCAAAAAAAAACACTCACAACTCTGTATCTATCACCTAAGATTTCTAGTATTGGTATCACAGAGATATATATCATCAAAAAGAGATAACTTTTAGTCGAATGGATCATGAAACGATCAAAAAATACGTCAAACACACACAGACAGAAAGGGAAACTAAATTTAGAAACCGACATACGATTCAATTTCCTCAGACCTTTTGTGTGGTTTCCAAGAGACAAACGAAGCAGATAGCACAAACCTATTCCCAGATTGAGTGTATGAGAGGGAAGAAGAAGAACAAGTCAGTGTGCGCTTCGTCAAAATAAAAAACAGAGGACTAGGTCCGTACTGTGTGGGTTTATGCGTAATTTTGATGCATTCTCGAGGGTATTTTTGTCAGGATATTGACTTTGACTGGCGTGGAGTTTCTTGGCGAAGGTTAAGGTCCATACGATAACTTTTTTTCTTGGACAACATTTAATTCTGATTGCTTTCTCTTATAATTAGGGCTGGGCATTTTATCCGTTATATTTGATTCGATTCGTTATTCGTTTTGATTCGATCCGAAAATTCCGAATATCCGTAAACTTTTGAATCAAAGCAAATATTAAAATTCAGTATCCGTTATAATCGAAGCAAATCACAAATATTAAAATTTTGGGAAGCGGATATCCGATCCGATCCGAAAATATATAAATATATGTATATCTTGATTATATTTAAAATTTTAAATATATAAAATTATATAATTATTATTCTAGCACATGATTTTGAACAATTCTATTCACATTATTACTTTTATAAAAGTATTACATAAAAGAGAGAAAAAATTTATGACAATTATATTTTTTTTCCTAAATTTTGTGTTATTATAATTGTAACTTCAACTTAAAAAATTACAAAATATGTAAATTCACTAGTTCTTTTAATTTTTATTTTATATATCATGCAAAAAATATTTTTGTCCAAGTAAATTTGTATCAAAATCTTAAGATTATTTGTATTAATTAAAATAGATGAGATATCCGTAAATATTCGTAAATATCCGCAAATATCTATTTATTTTCCGGATATCCGTTTTTCCGGATATCCGTATTTTTTCGAAGCAAAGCAAATACCAAAATTAGATATTCGTAACATTCGAAGCAAATCACAAATACCTTAAAAAAACCCGGATATCCGATCCGTGCCCACCCCTACTTATAATCCCCCTACCAAAAATCAATTTTTAATTTTTTTCTATCTGAAATTATTGTGATTATCATTAGATTTATCTTTTTACGATACAAAAAAATGATAAAATTTGAAACTATCTGGAATTTTTATAACAAAAACACAGGTATGTTGTCGTCCAAACTATTTTGTTTCATCAGATGCATCGATCAACTTTTTGTTTTGTCTGAATCGTATATTTGGTGTAGATGAGGATGACATCACGATGCCCAATTACTACAGTTACCACCTTCTTATAGTGCACAAGACACAGTTCACAATCGACCATTATTCAATGAATGGTTTTGATCCATTTCCTCCTATTCAGCCTTCTTCCCAGTCGATGTCTTCTTCCTCTTCTTCTTCACCACCTGAAGCTTCTGCTTCCACATTCAAGTCCACCTTGTAGTTTCCGTTTCCTCCAACTGCCATTTTTTTTACATGTTTTAATAATATGATGATCAAACTAGCTACTATATGAATTTTTAATGTTACTGACCTGCAACTGGTGGAGCCTCTTCTTCCCATTCAACATCTTCTTCCTCTTCGCGTTTGGACTTCATACCAACCTGACGATTTGGGGATGTCGATGCCAACTCATTGTCAGGGGCTCCTACTTCACCTCCAGTTTCTTCTTCTCTCTGCTTCTGAGCTAGCTCTTGCTGCTGCTGTATCAGAGCAGCGTAGTACGCTTTGAAATACTCATCCTGAATTAAAAAAACTGTATCAGGATTCTACAGTGGAAATTAAAATAGACGCAAAGAAACATACCTTCAACAAATCTTTCTCATCGCCACCTTCCATGGCTGATTTCTTGTCATCTGAAAGTTTCGATGAGCCAACATCAACCTTTGCTTCCTGTCTCATCTCTCCTCTTTGTTCCTCCGTCAGATTCATTCCTTGCTTAATCATCCATGGAGGCAAAACTTTCAGACTAGAATCTCCACCGTTAGACTTGACATCCTCTTTTCCTTCACCAAGGTTAACCTCAACCTAAAACCATCCAAGATTCAAGAAATCAAATTACCACAATGAAAGAGGAAAAATCGAGTTAAAACTTTGAAGTAAAGGTATTCCTCAAAACGAAACTCCACTGAACCACTAGCCTTTATAGCACAGTATAAATTTGCAGATTGATATGAGCTTTAATATGAGCAAATGGACAAAGAAAAGGGACATTCCATAACAATATCATTGCCTCATCTTCCATAATAGCATTGAAGTTGTAATATGCATTGAGAAATGTAACTGATTATCACCTTTGTCTCTCCGAGAAATGGCATTGGTGTTGAGCCATACCCACCCTGTGACCTCAAAGGATCATTAGGGTTTAGCTCACCATTTTCACGAGCAGCAATAGCTGCACGAGCCTCCCATGCGATAAGAGATCCAAAGTCGGGAACTGGCAGGTCTTTTACTCTGTTTATTTGATCCATCAGAGGTTTTATTTGAACCTGCAGTTTATACTCCGATTGTTAGTCGCCAAAAATCAGTAACGTATAAACCAACATCACCTAGACGGTAATACAAAATCAAAGAATATAAGCCATGACTTGAAGCAAAAATTAACATTTACTTATCAAAAGTAAACATATCATCATACCAATCACAAAGTAACCATGAACATCATCCCAACCACCAAGAAGACATTTAATTGCTTACAATATCTAGCAATGGTCATTTAAGATATCCAAGTACGCTAATCAAGATTATAAATCATTCTGACGTCATGAAAAATGATGGAAAGGCACAGTCAAATCAATTTCTGGTTAACGAACTTCTAGAATATTGAAGTGAGAAGATAAAACATTATACACAGACCTCCATCTTCTGAAGCATATCTCTTAGTTTTTCCCGCCGCCGCTTCCTTGCATTATCATCTCCATCAGCTACTTCTTCTGAAGTTAGCTTGTTACATTCCACAACCAATTCACTATTGCAATTTTCACAATGAAAAGCATCGTCTTCCATAGAAATTAATCTCAAGGCATCCAGTGCATTATATCTAAATAAGAATAAGAATATAATTCAGTTTAGTGAAAATTATATAAATGTAGAAAATTTTATACGAACATAGAGAGCAGTGGACTTTACTTCCTCTGGCAGTTAGGACAGCCATACTCTTGAACAGTATTCCTATCTTCTAGTTCATCTTTGAGCTTCTTTTTCATCCGGTGTAGTTTATAACGAACAATATCATATATCTGTAAAAGAGAAGACGTGAAAGTTCAATAACATACAGGGCATTCTGATTTTAAAAGGTAAAATAGCAAACTGAAAACAATTAGTATGAGGGACATGAAGCAGACCTGTGGATAATTGAGGCAGCAATACGAGTGGGTATGGAACTTAACCTTGTCCTCTGCTCGACCACCAGTTGTAGCAGCTACTGCAACACTATACATCTTTGCACCTTTTGCAGTCTATTAATAAGATTTAGAATCAATAAAAGAGCAGAGTAAGGAGAGAAGTGACAAGCAAAACAATAGAACCAACAATGTAGAAAAATGTGGTTCAAAATACAAAACAGGAACATAGTTTCTGCACAGACCTCTTTCCTGTGGTCACGCATGATCAAGTTTTGTTCTTCAAAGTGTCGTATTATTTTTCTAAGTTGTTTGGCGTGCAGCTTCAATTCTTTAGCCAAGTCTTCTTCTCTAACCCATTGCTTCCTACCAGGAATTAAAATCAGCAGGGTTAAATAACCAAACTAAGCAATATCAACCTCCACCATCACATAATCAAAGTTCCAAAAAGATAACCTACCGTTACTCACACAAAACTAATTAGTACACTGGACTAAAAAGTTGTTTAGAAACTATTGCAACAAGTTTAAGTGTAAGCAAAGTTCGATCACATAATAGACTGGAAACCTTGTAAGCTCATCGAGCACAACAACGGCAATCCCTCTATTGTCACTTCTTGCAGTTCTCGGCTGATTATCGCTTTTGGTAGTGTAATCATCATAGAAAGCCCTTGCTAAAAGCCTCACCAACCTACAAAAATGCAAAAATAAGCGCAGAGTTAGAACATATGTATTGAAGACTTTAAACAAAAGATATATAAAAAAAAAAAGGTTAAAAAGGTAAAGAGAGATACTTGATAAACGGCTCGAGCACAACTGTTTTCTGCACTGGGCCCTTATTATCCATGGACTTATCAAACCAGACACTGACATTACCACGTCAAGGAAAACAGTCTTAGTTAATTCAAACAAAAAAAAATCTGGATTGTTACAGAAGATTAGACTTTAATAAAACAGAGCAATCTTGACATAGGAAACATTTTAATGTGTGAATAAAGTATATGTTTTTTAATGACTCGAGGGCACTTGATATTTATTCACACATTAAAATGTTTCCTATGTTTGAGGAGTATTTGCTCAAAATCGAAGAAACTACTAGGAGGTCGATTTGTGAATCCAGATCCTAAAATCTCAAACCAAATCAAACACACGAGAGGTGGGAATATTCAGAAAATCATTAAGGAGACCATAATTTTAAAGAAACCCTAATCAGTCAATACGAACCAAATTAATAACTTTCATTTCGCAGAAGCAGCAAAGGAGAGAGTTTGGGATAATAAAAGAATGAGATACCGAGTCAAACTTGATGAAGCTTACCGGAGAGAAGAGAGAGAACGCGGCGATGAGCGAGAGCGACGAACAACAACAGAAGGCGTCTTAAATCAATCTCTCTCTCTCGCTTCTTCTTTTTTGACAACTACCCTTTGGTGTTTATTTTTGAGATTCTTTATTTTTTTAACCTCTTCATTCATACAATATAGACATATCAATTGGGCCAAAAGCCCAGTAAAGATTTAGTTATATAAGCCCAAAACAAAACTGGGCCTTTCAGAACAAGAAGTCCCACATCGATCAAACCATTGATACTCTCGTTCCTCATGTTAAACCCGGTTTAGAAAACTTTTTTTTTTTCTTTTCATTATTTCAGCTTCGTAGACACAAACATACATCAATGTACGTGTTTAAGAGACTTGATGATACACGATTAATGAGAGGACACTGAACCTTAAAACCTTAATAAAAGAATTAACACAAAAGTTTATCTATATGATTCTGCTAAAAGAGGCTCTGTTAGTTTTGTTGTGTAATTCTTCATAAGCTTCTTCACGGTTACTACTCCCTTGCTTTGATGATACTCCTGTGTGGACACACACAAAACAGTCATAAATCTCCCACACCCATCAAGTTTTTTTTGATATGTTTCTTGCTTACCAATGGTGAAGTACGTGCTATGGATGATACTGCTGCTGCCGCCACTCGTACTCTGAAACGATGTCAAAATATGATTCAGTTTTTTTGCCTTTTTAAGTGAACCTTTGTTAAGCTAAAGAGTAAGTGGGTCACAACACAAGTAAGCAAATACCTTTTATGTACATCAATGTAAACGTCAGTTTCATCCACTATTTCTGCCTGCTTTTCCAGTAAAATCACCAAATGATCAAAATCAGAAAAAGAGAAACAGAAGAAGAAAAAAAGAAGCATAAGATCATTTACCTGTAGAAGTTCTTCAAAGACATCTTCTAAAGTGATGATTCCAATAACTTCTTCATCCTCGTTATCTTCCAACAAACGTGGCAAGTCTCTTGTGACAATGCCGTTTTCTTTGAAATTTCTTCCCCTAATTTCCACATGTGTTGGTACTTTATCAATCTCAACGACAACAACATCACGCCTTTCATCCACATGCTTAAGCAAAGGAGTTGTTAGATGAGGAGGACTCGAGTATAAGTTAATATTTTCTCTGGGTGTTTCTCCATTACTCAGCAACTGCATATACTTCTTTTTATCTTTGTCTTTGGCTTTTACAACCGCAGCCATGTGACTGCTTCCCTTTTGAAACTCGTTGAGGATATCATACAATGGCATGTCTGATGGAACCCTGAAAAGGCAAACGTATACACTGATTTCATGGAGAAACACACATTTTATGGCTAGGCTAAGCTTAAGGAAGCAAGATCGGTATACCTTGGGATCTTCCTAATGGAAGCAGAACTTACTGGTGTCTCTGCTTCTGCTCTTACAGTTAGAAGACTCTTCACCTTAGGTAACAGCAGCATATATATATATAAATAACTCTGACAGAATGTATATTGAAATGAAGCAATGCAAAAGAGTTTCATATAAGCACCAATAGAAGACCAATGATATTTTTAGGATTCCCTAAGTAGACTGGGATTCGACTATGGCCTTTGGAAAGTATTTTCCCAATTGTCTCCCTGCAAATTACAAGGTGAAACTAGTTTACTCTCTCTAACTTGTATTAATTTTTTCAACTAATCAGCCAATGAGAGTATTTCAGATCCACTGTTAACTCACCAGTCTAATTTTGTAGTTACATCCAATGAAAACGTTGATTCAATTGGCGTCATAGCCTCCTCAGCAGTCTGAACTTCAAGGGAAATGAAAACGTATGAATCTTGAAGCATATAAGCAAAACCATTTTCATTTATAACATAACTTATACAGATTCCTATTACATGGCATATGGCATAATACAAATCTTTACCTTCTCGCTTAAATCTAAGGCTCCGCTTATAATCATTGTTTCCTCGTGTGTCAGTTCTCCTCCCTTACCAGCCTATGTTTGAGAGAAACACCATGTCAATGGAAGAAGCTGGAGACAGAATAGCACTTTCCATAATCAAGTAACTTGATAAACTACTTCACAAATCAGACAGGGTTACAACATAATATGTCTGCGTTTTTTTTTTTTGCCTATCATATATATATACACAACTACCTCCTGGCTGTGAATTGAGACAAGAGCTTTTAGTTGAGCTCGCCTAAACAGTGCGTCATTATGCCCAATTACAGCATCAAGAACCTGAGGCATATAAAAGAGGTTTGATATAAGTAAACAACCACATCTACATTATACTCTGGCATCTATAAATGCATCCACTTATCTAGGTGATATATAATCAATACAATTAACTTCAAACAAGTTACACTTCTTAATAACAATGCTAAAGTGAATGCAAGGTTCAACAAATTTCCTGTCTTTTTGTGGTTTATTGACATTTAGTTCTCTGACAAAAAAGGATTGGTACAACAACTACATCACCTTTCCAATAGGGTAAGCAATGGGATAGCAGAGTATCATCAAAATGCGAACCAACCACAAAAAATTAGCTCCAACAGCAAGCCCATACCTCGAGCATATAGCTTGTGGAATTATCTGGTAAAGTAATGATACATTATATTCCTATCAGCTTCTAGATGGGAAAGTGCAAAAACAAATAAAGACAAACACATACCAAGAATAGATAATAAATAAAGTTACCTCTCCAAAAGCAAGAACAAAAGTAACCGAGAGTATAACAGCCACCAAAGGGTGAAATATCTTATCCAAACATATAGGAAGTGCCTGAAAAAAGGAAACAAACAAAAGCATCAAGTACCAACTTCATTGATTCCCATATCAAATATTCCACTAAGGTGCACAAAAGTTAGTAACTTATCTCGCTGTAAAATTAGAAAAATGACGGTAACTAAAAATCTAGTTTTTTTTTTTACCTCCATGGCAGCTGCATTGCATAGAAGCAGAGTCACAAGCAGTTGATGCTGCTTCTTAACCACTGGTAAGATAGCAGCTACAATATACAACAAACAAATTCAATGCAACTCCAAAGGTAATAGTAAATAGTAACAATAGAGAGTGTACAATTTTTTATTACTATACAGCCATTACAAAGTAAGTGTAACCTAAGCAGTGATTTTTTAACCGCGATCAAAGAAAACTTACCGGCTTGCTTTTTCACAGAGGAGGAGCCACTCTGCTGAAGAATCTCAAGCTCGACGAGGCCAAGGGACATTAAACCGAGTGTGAGTCCAGACATTATCCCGGCGAAGAGAACGAGGAAACACGCTACACCGACGACGACGAACCACCAAGGCGAACCGAATGCAATGTCTTCCTTCTCAAAGACGAAGATGTTTAACGAATAAGCTGTTTTTATCAACGCCACCGTGTTCAGAACAACCATTTTCGACGCCTTCTTGTTCTCAAGCTTCGATTTGGTCGCTGGAAGCGAGACAACAAGAGAAGGGACTTGTGTTGTGATGTGTGGAGTTTGTTTTCATTTAGAAAGAGGGAGACGATGAATGGCTTTTGATACGTGGATACATGGAGCTACCGACATGTCAGCATTAGACATGCGTTATTTCTTTTTTTTTTTCCTAGTTGTTACTCTCCTCACATGACTTAACAACGTGATAAATATGAATTACTGAACTTTATGTAACAACGTGATAAATATGAACTACCGCATGATATAAAGTCTCAATGTATCTACCCTTGCACCGGTTTGAACGCCCCGAGAAGGATACGCTTTACTCTTAGATCTTCCAATATATATATATATATCACTGGACGACTGTGATTCTGTGATATACATATATACTATAAAAAACAATTAAAGTGGATCATTGTAAATCTTTTGTTCAGACAATGCTGCTGGAAAGAAAAGTAGAAAAAAAAAAATATTGCTAAATAAGAAGCTGAAACGGGTGCTGTCGGGGATAATAATATACTGTACTCAGTGCCGGTCCGGTGAATCTAACGGCCAGAAGCAAAAAGATAATTATGGGCCTGTTATAAATGTGCTAGCAAAAGTTTTAAAGATTTGTGGGTAGGTCTAATTTCGAATTCACCACCTCTGTTTCTCCTTTCCAAGACAATTACTACTATGCTACCTATGCTACTTATGAAAACTGCTAAATTAAGGGCCGATAAAAATACATATAATATTTTGAGGCTAGAAGCTCAAGCTTCCATGCTTGGTGTCAGGGCCGGTACTGACTGCACCAGTAATGTAGTCAAAATCCTAAATTAACTGTCATTACGAGAGAACCAAAAAGGATCAAAATCTCAGAAAACTATAGCATTTTGTACTTGTAAGTTTTTTTAAATGGTCTAAATAATCAAACTGTATTCCTTATTTCAATTTAATTACAAATACCCAATAACAAGTCATTTGGTTTGTTTGGGATCATTTTTAGCCCAATCTTTGGGCCCACTGAAGTCGTAAGAAAATGTTCGCGGAAAAATAGGTTTTTGACAGTGAACCGGAACGAGCGAGTCGCATCAGAATCTCAAAGATCAAATAATAGTGAATAATAACCGGTGGTAAACCGAAATTAAACTTTTACTCGAGTCGTAATCAGACTCCGGTTGAATCGGGTCGGGTTTAGCTATCGGTTGTTCGAGTCCTCATTCTCCTTCCTTGTTTCGCCATGGAGATTCGATTTGAAATCTGAAGAAAACGCTAATCGAAGAAAACAAGATTCGTCAATAGTGACAAAATCAAGCTTCTATACTCGATCGAAGCTCAGATTCAACAAGATCTTCACAGAACGATGAAGAAATTTGAAGAAGAAAGATGAAATTGATCGAAAAAATCAGAGAAAACGAGCTGAAAGACGCTCTGATACCATATGAGAAAACAGAATACGGTTATGGAAATGATTCTGTTATTCACATTAACTTTACAGTAACCACATTTACATGTATATATAGTCTAGTCTCGACTTGGTTTGATACTAAACCAATGCTAAATTACATTTACAATTAAACCGGACTCAAACCAATACCAAGGGCTAATAGAATCGGGGCATATTCCTTGGCCTTGATGCATTTGCGTGTGCCATTTCAATCGAGGAATATCCCAAAAATCGCAGAGCTTCCTTCCTCTCTTCTGTTAATTCTCGCCTTTGTCCGAAAGAGCCTTCCTTTCAAAAGCAGAGCAGTCTTTTCTGTGTGGAATCAGCTCAGCTACTCATTCATATATCTATTTGGGTGAAAAACATGGCGGCTGCTACCAATGTCTTGCTGCGAGATGAGACCCTTCTTATCTCTTCTTCCCCTCTTGAGATCCGTAGAGGTAATTTGAATTTGCAAGTTTCACTCTTTTCCCCTGTTTTGTCTTAATTAGAGGAAACTTATCTTTGTGGGGAGGGGTTTCTCACTTGCTAGCAGGAGATACTTCTTCAGCTTCTCGTGGCCTCTCTCTTGAGAAGAAAATCGAAGCCCTTGAGAGCCTCACTGGACAAGTTAGTGTTCCTTGTGGGATTAAAGATGAGTTTTTTTTTCGAAATTGATATACTTTTGTAGCTAATGATTCTTTTTTTTATTGACTTAATGAATGAAAAAGGTGAGTAATAGGAGATCAAGGAGATGGTTAAATGATCGTATTCTGATGGAACTTGTTCCTCGTTTAGATGCTCAAGAAATCAGAGGCTTGTTTGCTCCACCTCCTTGGGGTAATTATAATAATCTCTCCCTTTCAATTTTTTTCAACTTTGTTCTTCTGATCATGTGCATTTTAATCATTTGACTACAAATGTTCCATCCAACAGGTGATGATGTCCCTCCTTCTGCCTTTTCTTTGACTAATGTTGGGGAATGGGACAGATTCAGAAACATTGACATGGACAAGGAGGTCAGTTACTTACCTGTCTTCTTCTTTTTGGGTGTAAATATGTCATAAGAATAGAAGTTCTGTAACCCATAAAAGGATATAAGTTAGTATAGTAATAATGATCTGAAAATATTGGCTTTGTTTCGCTAGAATCTATGGTGTGATTTAACTCTTAAGTATTAACCATAATTGGGATTTAAAAAAAAAAAAACTGTTTTCTTGTCAGGCCAATATCATGGACTCCTTGAACCAGTCATCCGTAAGGCAGAAAGGTCATGTGGATGCTGATAAGACCGCTGTTTTAACGGCTTGGAGAAGAATAGAGTGTAGAACTAGAGAGGCTCTTCGACGCAGCTTTTTACCCGACCTCATCGAGGGATACGAGGTATCTATCTATAGGTTCTTCAGTTTAAGCTGTACATTTATAATTTATTTCTTCTACTCTCAAGAATTTTTTTAATTTCACAGAATTGTATAAGTCATTTCATTGAGGAAGGTAGTGAAGGAGACGTTCTTGAGCTCAAGGTCCAAGACCCATTCCATAGATTGCTTCTCCACGGTGTTTGTGAGGTAACCACATCTCTCCTCAGCTATATTCTCCTCTTAGATGTTGATGTAAAGAGAGTAAACAACCTAAAAGAGAAACTCTTTTTTTCTTTGGAGCAGTACCACAATCTGGTGTCTACAACTGCGACAGAACAAATAGGGAAGAAAGCAATGAAGACAACAAAGATCAAATGGAAGAAGAGTGACGAGAAACTTAGCATCAGCCTCGCCCATTTCCTCAGGATGTCAAAGGAAGGAGCTTGGTAACACAAACACACTCCTTTGTAGCTGTAACTCTTATGAATAAGAAAAAAAGCTGCATTGGCCTCCTCTCTATATGCAGCAAAAGGATTTAATTTGCTTCTCCTGCTATGTGGTCTTGTGACCTTTGTATTGTATTCTCATTACAAACACTTTAAGTGATAGATTAAGTAGACAAACCAGTTCTACAGATAAACAATAAACAATGTATCATTAATTTACTTTATTTCATGGAAACATTTTATTTTTATTTTTAAATTGATTGAGGCCACCAATAAAATAGAGACAAGAGTGTGAAGCTTTGGTCCAAACAAAAAATGGTGGCGAGAAAGAGAGTCAACTACTCTGTGGTTGATGCTTTCGCTGATTCCGCCTTCAAGGGGAATCCAGCTGCTGTTTGCTTCCTAGACGATGATGATCAGAGAGACGACGCTTGGCTTCAGTCTCTAGCCGCTGAGTTCAACTTATCAGAGACTTGTTTCCTTACTCCGATCACCGTCTCTCGCTTTAGTCTCCGGTGGTTCACTCCCGTCGCTGAGGTTTGCTAATCTCTGCTAAAGATCAAATTTTTATTTCAGATTGTTGAGTGGACTTTGTTATTGACTGAAAAGATTGTACCTTTAATGAACTCAGATTCGAATTCATGAGAAAGTAATGAACTTTGATCATTTTTTTTATTTCTGATTGTTTAGTTGACTTAAAGACTGTAACTTTAACGAACTCTGATTCGAATTCATGAGAAAGTAATGAACTTTATGTTTTTTTTGTAGGTGGATCTGTGTGGTCATGCAACGTTAGCATCTGCTCACGTTATCTTCTCAAACGGTTTGGTTGATTCTGAAGTGGTTGAGTTCGCTACAAGATCAGGGATTCTAACAGCTAAGCGTGTTCCACTTACTTCAGAGCTCAAAGATGTTGAAGAAGAAGAAAAAGAATCAACGTTTTTGATTGAGTTGGATTTCCCCGTTGTTCCAACTTGTGAAGTCAACTCAGTTACTGATCTCTCTGTGTTCTCTAATGCTGTGAATGGAGCTTCCATTGTTGATATTAAAGCCACAGAGAAAGACATCCTCGTAAGAACTTTTCAGCAACTGTCTTTTTGTTGGTTATTATTGCGTTATTGGAACCAAATCTTGTCTGATGTATTTGCAGGTTGTGCTTTCTTCGTGGGAGTCTGTTACTGAGTTGCAGCCAAGAATAGATGAGATCTCGAAGTGCCCTTGCCAAGGATTGATGGTTACTGCTGCTGCTTCTGCAGGATCTCAATATGATTTCTGTAGTCGCTACTTTGCTCCTAACTTTGGAATTAATGAGGTAAAGGCGTGAGTGAATGAATGTTTTGTTTCCATGGACTCTTGGATTAAGAACAGAAAAAGAAAAACATTTAACTCTTTTGCTTGTTTTTTAAAACTTGTGTGGTCTCTTTTCTTCTTCAGGACCCTGTAACTGGAAGTGCACATTGTGCCTTAGTACATTACTGGAACACTAAGATGAACAAGTGTGACTTCGTAGCTTACCAGGTTCTCTCTCTCTGACTCTTCTCATACAGAGACTTTAGATAGATTTGAAAGTGATGAAAAGTATTTATATACTATTTAGTTTCTGAAGAAAGATTTGTTTGTTTAGGCTTCAAGCAGAGGAGGAACGCTCAATGTTCACCTGGACAAAGAGAAGCAGAGGGTTCTGCTGAGAGGGAAAGCAATCACTGTTATGGAAGGATGTGTCTTAGTTTGATTTTTGGCTATTATAAAACCAGCCTCTTCTTGTAAACGATGAAATTAAATAAAGGAAGCATATCTTCTCGGACATGTGTTTGTATCCATAAATATTTAAATTTGCTTTTGATGATGAGATGACAAGATTTTCATTGTGTTAATGAGACTGGCCTCACTACAACACCACAACAACATTAAGCCATAAGTTCTTCGTTTAAAGAGTTTAACTGCTACGAAATGGAGAAAATATCACAACTCAATTATTAATCTCACAGAAAAGGCCTCTACATATTGAGCCCATGTAAACATCTTCATAGAAAATCCGGCCCAACCTCTTTTTACATGTCACCTTAAAGTTTGGGCATATATCACGAATGGTTTCCGAAAAGGGTCACTAACATTGCACTGATTGATGGACGAGTTGTGAGTCTTGTGACTTGGATGTTCTCAAGCATTGTTATGAGTTATGACTTGAGTGTTATATGCAATTCATTCTAATCCGTTATGTTACCACCAGTGTTCGTTGTCTTCACTGAAGTTTAAAAACACTTGGAGGAACACACTAATGTAATACAATCTGATAGAAAGCAGTAGCTAGTTCAGTAACAAAATAAATTCTCCAGGAAAATTCGAAGTCAACTTTGGATTGTCTTGGACAATAAAAGTCAGCTAAGGTAATACGACAAGGGCACTTTTTTAGTGTTTATACAAATTTTATAATTGTTGTATTACAGATGATTCTCTTGAAGTTTTATATATCGTTTATACTGTTTTTTTTTGTCAACTGTTCATTTAAACTAGATTGAGTGGTGGTCAGATAAACTGATTTTCTGAGGAACATCTCTATCTGGCCAAATCTGATCTATATAAAAAAAACATAGTCTCTAGTCCTTATTTCTTTTGCTATTGTTTATACTATTAAAACTTCTAATATGTAAAATTATGACGAAATAAATAGATTATGTACAATTGTTATTATATGATATTTCTGTTGGAAAAATATGTAGTTTATGAACTTTAGTTTCAGATATTTGGGTCCATTGTTCCCATTAAGGAAACATAACTAAAACTGATAAACATTGGTCTTCTGTGGGCAATAATTTCATAATATATTAGTCGAAGCTTAAACATTTTGACGAACGCACATGTTTATCTAAAAAGGGGTTATTTGAATGTCCATTATTTTATGTCTTCAGGTTAACGAAATTCATATTTTCCGCTAAGATTAGTTTCATTCCTGTAAGGAATTAAATGTCCAAACATCTTTGTCGTGTGATGGAGGTATCCATCATGTATTGGCCCAAACATTATATGGTGGTTACGATTTACAAACACAAAAATTAGTGAGAATGTTTTTGGTTTATGAGATTAAGTTACGAAAATAGAAAGTAATTAGAATAAATAGGAAAAAAATGTTTGAAATAGAAAAAGAATGATTGGAAATATATCACCGAAATGGGTGCCGCATCAGATAGTGGTCAATAATAAGCATCATGTGGCACATAGAACCATGGAAACAGACTCCTCTCTCGATATTCGTTTGCAGAGAGACAAAGTCCCCTTTAAATATATTTACGTACTTTTTGAGACCTTGGATTGGACATTGTTTCCATAACTTGTCTACTTCTCATTGGTTGAAAACTACATATATAAATAAGGGTATCAAATATATATGAGTGTTTTACACTTAGAGGCAGTTTCTGAGTTTTTATTACACTCAGAGACACTTTAAGCTACTCAGGTACTTTATGTCAACTAGAAAGGAAACGAGAAGTGGAGTTTTCAACTAATAGGACCCACCAACTTCTCTTTCTTCATCTTCTTCTTTTATAATCAGTTTGTAATTTTTTCTTTCTAATATAGGAGAACCCACTATCTTCTCTTTCTGTATCTTTCTTCTTCTTCTACAATTAATTTTGTTCATCTATTTTCATCTATCAAAAATTAATTGTATAAAAATAATTATAGCAGAGAGATTTTAATTTTGAAGATGAGATACAAAACGATGATTATTAGTCAGATAAGAAGATGAATCTAATGTAAAAAAAGATGGCGACGAAGAAGTAGAGCGGCACCATGGTCTCCTACAATGTGCTGCTATATCAAGTTATCTCTTCTGGCAACGTTTCTCGCCATCGCTGGACTGTTACGAGAAGCTTGAGAACATTAATGGCCATTTTTAGAATTTTTGCATTTTTGGTCCTTAGAATTTTGTATAATTTCATTTTTAATCCAAAACTTTAAAATTGTGCATATGTCTACTTAAATTAGTCCTTTACACAAAGTAACAATTTTTGTACATGAAAGAATGTTCTCAAAAACAGATCAGTGTGACGAGTCATGTGGAAAAAAAATATACATGCATATATAATAAAAATAAGTTTGTAAATTTTGACTTAGATAACAAAAAATCAGTTTTAGTTCTATATATACATAACACGAAAAACACCTAAATGCATCATAAATGAATTAATTGACCTAAAATGAAAGCTAAAAATTATTAAATATGAATATTACACAAAACCATATGCACATATATGTGTACATCTTCTCTACCTTTGAAGTACACATGTACATGTCACAAAGTATACACCACTTAGCTTGTTCAATGATTTTACATATACACATCCTATATGTGTACATCTTCTCTACATATTTTGATTCACCTTTGAAGTACACATGTACACGTCACAAAGTGTACACCACTTAGATTGTGCAATGATTTTACATGTACACATATTTAGTAAAATAATATCTTTTAGAATACGAAAAGTATAAGTTTGGTGATTGAACTAGTTAATAAAAAACAAAGATTAATCATTATTAATCAAGTATGAATTTAGAATTGTATGTTATTTAATAAATGTACAAAACATTGTTTTCATTCCATATACATAACACAAAAGATATCTAAATACATTCTAAAAAGAATTAAATGAACTAAAATCAAAATCTAAAAATCTTTAAATATGAATATCAGACAAAACCATATGTACATCTATATGTGTACATCTTCTCTATATATGTAATTCACCTTTGATGTACACATGTACAGGTCACAAGGTGTACACCACATTACTTGTACTATACTTTTACATGTACATACATCTAGTAAAGTAATTTTTTAGAATATAAAAAATATAAGTTTGGTGGTTGAACATGTAAACAAAAAACAGAGATCAATAATTGATTAATCAAGTTAATCAACGATTAATCTTGTATGAATTTAGAACTGTATGTTATTTAATAAATGTATATAATGTTGAGAGTCACTTGTACTAATTTAGCTATAGAAATAATAATTTTGGAGTACTCAGTGTGTTAAATATCATCAACGTGTACATATAAATCATGATATTTGATAATTTATTCAAGTTGTGATATTTGATAATTTTAATAATTAATTGTTAAAAAGATGTATTAAGAGGTCTTTCATACGTAAATTTGTTCATTTGCATTTGGTATTGTCTAAAATGCAAATTTGAAAGTTTTTGACTAATTTAAGAAGATTTATTTTCAAATCTCAAAGTTTTGAGGGAAAAGTGAAAACAATTATAATTATAAGGACCAAAGATGCAAATTAAGTAAACTTGATCTCAAGGTTCAACAATGGCAAATCTCAATCTCAAATGCAGAATCGACTTTTTTTATGGTCCACCGGAGGTCACATAGAGAGGCTAAGATCATGCTCAAGACCTTTTGAGACATCAGAGAGGCTGAACACACGAAGTCGAAGTTTCCCACCGAACTTGAGATATGACAGAAGAGAAGATCCATGGAGAAAAAAGAAGATCCATGGAAAAGAAAGAAGACTATGGAGGTGGGGCTCATCGTGGTTCTGGATTGCGGTGGAGAGCTTGTCTAGTTACAGTCATTCCAACGTGTATGGTCCGTGATGGTAATTCGTGGTTCAATCTAAATTATCTTTCATGAGAAGACAACTTCACAAATCTTAAAATATAAATCAGATAATAAAACCAAGAATTTAATAGAAGATCTCTTTGAATATTTTTTTGAAGAATCAGATTTAGTTTTATAAAAGATGGTTGAGAATTTAAATGAAGAAAACGAAGAAGAAAGAGATGTGGATCTACTTTATTTTGTTTGTTAATCAGATTTATATTAAATAAAGTGAAAATATGTATTAAATTAAGTTAAAGTAACATACTAGTAGGGTACTTTAGTTTGTTTGTAACAAGAAGGAGAGTTTGGTTAAACAAAACTACCCCAGTAGCAACAACTGCCCCATTGTGTTAATAAAAACTTGAAACTGCCTCTGAGTGTAATATTTTCAATATATATTAACGGACGATATACTTTGTGACAATCTTTCATCCATGTCAGACATGATTTTAATCAGATATCCAAAATTCTTGTCATATACGAAGAGAAAACCAAATATTTTTTTTTTTGGGTACATGATGTAACTTGATCTCTATGATTATTTAAATGAGTGATGTACGTTTCGATTTTCATTATTTTTGTTGGTTAAGATGATGAGTTTTTCGTTCTTATTAATGATATAACGAGGAGGTCATGCACTTATGTAAGATATGATGACGCAAAAAATAGAAAAAGTTTACAAATCGTACAACGAAGATCAGAACACAGAATCAAAATCAGGAAAAAAAATTGAAAATTAAATGAGGAGAAAGAGAGAAATAGGATGTTTGCATGTGATTCTCATGTGGGGGCGTGTGGGAACAATCTCTCATTTGTTCATGTGGATGTCGTACCATATATGTTTTCTTTGTAATTCAAAAATAAAATGATTCATTCTATTAATTTGCATAACCGTGTTTAATCTGAACTATAATATATATAATTTATGTTACATGCAAAGAACTTAAGAAGTGAAGATGTAGCTTCACACTTTTGTGATACATTGTTTTAATCGGGTAAAAATAGCTTCCGAATCACACAAATGGCATGCGTTTGCAGTTTTGCCAAAGGAATTTTAAGCTAGGACCACGCATAAGACATAGAATTTTATAACACATGCGCCACAAATTCAAAACACAAGAACAAAAGAAGTATTCGGATTCAAATGAACCATGTTATGTATATTAATTTTTAGTTTGGTTTGCTAATTTTTCATAGAATTTCTTTTTCTATGATAAAAAAAGTGTAGATGAAAAAATTGACAAAATATGATACTCTCAATTTCTTTTTTTTTATTCTAATAGGACTTTTGATCTTTTAAGCTACTTCTGAATATGTTTTTTTAAGCTACTTCTGAATATGTTTTACCTATTTGTAATGGACAAATAAATTTGAACAGAAACTTAAAAACGAGTATCTGACCAACAGAAATTTACGGTCTCTTTTTAAATTTTATTGTCAATTCTACATTTTACCAAACAGAAGAGAGAATTTACACCCTCTATACACACAAAACTCTAAAATTAAAGATATACCCTATTTCTCTCTGTGTCTATCTTCTCCCCACTTACTATTTTTTTCCGCCCAATATTAAAGTATCTCTTTTTATGGTATTTAACTAATTTACTCAAAAAATAATAATTCTGTTCGCGACATGTTGTTATGTTTTAGATTTTATTGTCAACTTGTTTATCAAGCTAGTTCTTGTTATGGAAAGAAAATTAATCGATTAGTCCAACCACATTTTCAGAGTATTTTCAGGTACAAAATGTAGATGAATAGTACATGTTCAGCTTTTGTTGTTAACCGCTAACATAATTATAAAGAATAATAATTGATAGTAACATTATCACACAAGAGAAATACCAAGTCTCATTACACCAAATAGAATTGGAAAAACACTCCCAGTCCCCTCGAGAAATCATACAAAGCATATGTTATAAAATTATGAAAACTCATATTTTTAAATTATTTGATTAGAAGATTAATGGAGTCTTTAAGTGGCGACCCAAAACTGCTGCTGCTTCCAAGTAAGCATTGGTTTAGGCTCACGACCATTCTCCTTGCATCTGCTGCTTAATCTGCTAATCTTTTTATTTCCATTTTTACCCTCCAAGTTCTCACTATTTGCCTCCTCTGTTTCTTCTTCCTCTTCCTCCTCATCATTGTCCCCAAGTAAAGAACTCTCCGGCGATAAACAGAGACGGAGCCTTCCGTCCTCACGTTCAACTACAAAGTTACGAGGCGGAGATGAAACCCTAATTGCTTGAACAACAAGACGACCATCTTCTCCTAAAGACCTCACCATACGATTAAACTTTGATTCTTTAACGAACTTTATCGGTGGCGGGAAGCTTTTGTTACGACTCATCGTTGATTTCTTGGGATGAAAGTCACTTTCCTTCTCTTCTTCTTGAGTTTTCGACTTAGGAGGAAGAGAATGAGCCCTAGAGAGAGCGGTTGCTTCAAGCGCAAGTAAAGACAACTCGTCACCACTCTCGCTTCCTGTTTCGGCTCCGAGGCTCTCAGTGCACATCTCTAGGCTTTTCTCGTTCAGTTTAGAAACAGAACGTTTCTCGGTCGGGTGCACATAAGCTTTATCCTCTCTGTTTCGGACAATGGCAGTTATATCGGACATAGATTGTAGGAAACTCAACCCACCCATGTCTCCTTTTTGGGAGAAACTTTTGGTGACGAGTTTTTCTTGAGCTTGACAAACAACAATTGACATTTTTTTTATGTTCTTGTGGAAAAAAAACAGAGGATCCAAATGAGAGTTTCTGTTGTGTCTTTTTTTACTTGGATTTTTGATCAATGGAGAAAGAGAAAGATTGATTGATTGGTTTTGTTGGTTGAGTTAAAAAAAAGAGGATGAATGTGAAAGAGAAGAGGGAAGGGTGAACAAGTATTTATAGTGGTGAGATCCACTTGCCATTGGATTCTTTTCGGACACAACAGAGTTAAACTAAACCACTACTCTTTCATTTGTTTTCTGTAGTCTTTTTGTGTTTTTGTTTACGGATATTATCGTGTATATCCATAAGTTTTAGTAATATTTTTGTATTATGCAAACCAATAGGTTGGGGAATAATGAAACTACAAGCTGGGATTGAGTTGTATTAACAACTAGTTAAAAGTTTATTAGAGAAAAGCTTAAAGAGAGTACAAAAAGATGATACTTAAGCATATAATTGACAATTTTAAACATTTTAAATAGCTCTTAAAACGCATCTTTTAAATTTGGAGACAATGCCTTATACTTTCTTGATACTTTACTGCTCAGATTTCTTCGAATTTGCTCGATTTAAAGTTAAATACATCATTAGTTTATTTAGGAAGTAGGATTAAAAGTGTCTTATGTCTGGGTAATATCTATATCTAAATTTAGATTTAAGAGTAGCTCAGTTCAAGTATATTGTTGTGTTGTAGTTTTTTTTTTTTTTTTTGGAACGTAGTGTTATGTTGTAGTTAATTTTACAAATTCAAATAAAAAATAGTAAATTTAATTCGCAAAATTTAGTGAAAGTATACCCTACTGAAGAGGCTCACCGAACCTATGGCCACTTGAGTGAGAGTGAATTTTTTGTTTCTTACTTTCTTCATCAACTTGTGGCTGTTACTTGATATCGCTGAAACAAACTCTATACAACAATTGGTAGATTCTTTTACATTCTTGTACGTTAGTATTCTTATAGTAAATACATATTTAAGGTAATGGATTCTTTGTAGCATGGACTTGTATTTAAGAAAAACCCACCCCAACTAAGATAGGTTTAGCACAGAAATAACAAAAAGCAAGAGAGAATCCGAAGTCCACACCTTACTGGGAACTTAAGCTACACGTACAACTTTTAACTGTAATGCAAAGTGACATACTAGTTAACAATCAATAGTATATGTCCAAATCCTTGAGATTGTGTTTCTTCTTATGATTAATCCTACACGTAAAATGTAATGAATGATTCTAAAACATGTATTACCCTGTAATAGAAATAGCTTATGGGATGGGGATATGTTCCTGTCTTCACGCGTTTTCAGATAACGAATCAATGCTCTTGGGTTTAGAGATGATCCTCCTGCCTATAGCCTAGCTAGGTTCTCAAACAAGTAACAAATGTAGGGTCAGTTAAATAACATAGACAATAAGCATGTCTCATACTAATAGAGGTGATCAGTGTATTAAAAATTTATTTTAGTTAATGGGAACCGGTTCTTTAAAAAGCTACGGGTAGCAAAAGAAGTTTCCATTTCAAGTGAGGAAAACTTTTGAAAACTTCATGTGTTTTGAAAACAAAAGGTTTTTGGTATATGAAATGTCGACAAAGCTTTGAGGTAGAAACGTGAGTAGCAACTTAGTGCTTAGTAAAGTTATAGACCAGAATCTGTACCTTATATATTTCTTTCTCTCTAATGAGCCCCTGGCCATCCCAATTTATCATTCACCAATCACTATGCTTCCGTGTTTTCTAAACCAATCAGAGGAGGAGAAACTTTGAAACAAAGAACCAAAGCAAAGTGGGCTTTCTCTGCATCATCATCCCACTTCTGGTCCCCAAATTAAAGGGACAATCCAAAGCTAGATCCTCTCAAATTTTATTTTTATTTTTGTTAGTCTTTATAATCTTTAGCAACAAAGGAAGGTGGAATCTATTTCACGCTTACACAAAAAAACATGTCAACTAGAAATTTTTGTTTTCTTTCTCCTAACTTTTGACCATACTTAATATTCTTTCAATGTTTATAAAAGAACAAAAAGGTTTGGTTATCAAGCGTACATGTCAACAGTGACTATGATTAGAAAACTAACACGGAACCTATGAACAAGCTTTTATATAATGCTAGTCTAACGTTAAATTCTAAATAATTTCCAGTTACAAGCATTAAGTAAGGTTTATTCTACAACTATGAATTTTAAATGTTTTGTATCAATCCTTACCTAGAAAAGAAATTTATGCCCTTTTATCTTTACAAAGCATAGGTAGCATATGCTGAGAATTACTCTCAAGGGAAACCTATACTCATATTTTTTCGATATTTAATTACTGCAAGTCAAATGATTAGTACATTAGCATGAACAACAAAGTTATATGATTAGTAACACTAACATGTACAACAAAGTTAGATGTTGTATACTTTTATGCGGAAAACCGATTGTATATGCCGGTGAGAGTGAGACTTCTGTGTTTTCTGTGATTAATTTTATGATCTCTAAAATATCTTATCTGCTTACTCAACCAAAAGCGCCCGATTAATTTCTTCAAATCTTATATTTTCTTTATAATTAAATTCAAAAGTAAATTAAAAGTTTGTATGATAAAATAAGGGGGATTTAAATTACGAAAACATAATGTAAGGAAATTTTAATGCAAATACAAAAGTATGACAAAAGAACAAAAGGAAGTGTTAAAAACCAAGAGACAAGAACAAAGGGAACATAGACTTAATCATACTCTAATTCATCAGGGGTGATGGGTCTCTTGAGAGGAATCACAGACTTTTTCTCTACATCTCTTGATAATGCCTTCCTCATATCTGTTTTTTTTCACATCAAAACCATTTTTTTCAGTTCTTATATCTAAAGAAGGTGAAAGGGAAAGTAAAAAGGCAAGTATAGATTTGAAATCAACAAGCCTCTTACCTAACCCGTCTTCTTCTCCTGAATAATAGCGTAGAACCCGCCTATATATTATGTAGCCAAGCTGCCAGAAAATAAAGAGACACAGTCTTTAAATGATGAAAAAGAAGAACCCATGAAGGCGTTTTACAGTAATAATTGGAAATTTGTGCAAGTCTTGTCTGGAAAGTTACAAGTTATGCTTTTCTTCACACAGTAATAACTCATCATGAGATTTCTGAACTTGCAAATTATTTCAACTGTTTTACCTTTTCATACATCTTGATGGCTGGTGTGTTAGAAGCTCTCACGAAAAGATCCACAAAGTAGGCCTTATCACTGTGATCAATAAGAGAGAAATCATACAGCATAAGATAGAGAGCTAAAATGAGCAGCAATTTTTATGAGTTTTCTTCCTTTGATAAACTATCTAAATACCGGTTATCGGAAAAATAAATGGTCCATTATCAATCAATATACCACCCTTTATTCAGTCATAAAGGTCAATATAGAAGAGAAAACTAAAAAACTGGAGATGCCTTGTTTATTAGGACTTACATCTTATCACTGATCTCTTCAAGAAGGTTCATCAGTTTCTTAGCCAGTTGCTGCCTGCGATATTCAGGAGAGACAGTGACAGCCGTCACATGACCATGCCATGATTCACCCTGCCCTTCAACTTTACCCATAACTGAAAACCATACAGAATAATACATTACACACCAGCACTTCAAATGAATACGACTTAAAGAAGTTTGACATGTATTAGCTCCTAGAATCTTTTGCATAAAGAGGGATCATTCCGCGAAAATCAAAATCCATAGACATGGATTCTAAAAAAAGACATACAAATTTACGAATTTCCCTACTCCATATTCAAATCAAGAAACTTCCAAAAACAAAAGGCCAACGCTTAGATCTAGTCAAGTAACTGACCACCACAAGAACAGAAAAAATCGCAACGATTCAGAACAACATTACACGATATTTTGAGCTTCAAGAGAAAAAAAAAAGAAGAAGCAGAGATGAAGCCCAAAATAATTACTACAATCTACAAAAAATCGAAAAAGAAAAATCAGTAGCTACAAGAGCATATCAAAGAAGAACCAACATTAAAATAGAGTCACTCTTCAACATTGAAATTTATGAAATTCCCTACTCCACATTCAAATCTAGAAACTTCCAAAAACAAAAGGCCAATGCTTAGATTAGTCAAGTAACTGAGCAACACAAGAACAACAAAAATCGCAACGATTCAGAACAACATTACAGGATATTTTGAGCTTCAAGGGAAAAAAAAAGAAGAAGCAGATAAAGCCTCAAAATAATTCACACGTAGAGCCAATAACATATGGCATAACTATACTACACTCTACAAAAAATCGAAAAAAAAAAAGAAAAATCAGTAGCTACAAAGGCTAGAACTAATTAAAAGCATATCAAAGCAGAACCAACATTATAATAGAGTCACTCTTTCATCATTCTACCTACTTCCATCTGATTCCACTGATACCTACTTCCAGCCAATAACATATGGCATAACTATACTACACTCAACAAAAATCGAAAAAAAGAAAAAAAAATCAGTAGATACAAAGGCTAGAACTAATTAAAAGCATATCAAAGAAGAACCAACATTGAAATAGAGTCACTCTTCATCATTCTACCTACTTCCAACTGATTCCACTAATACTGCTTTCATCAATCTAAGTTTGTTACGAAGAGAGAAAGAAAGTGAAGAGTGTCCTTACTATAACCCATGACGCGATTGCCAGGACCTTCAGCGACATGAAAGTAATCAGGCCATCTCGCCAAGTAGGTCATGTAGAATGACATATTGAACTGTTCCAATTTTAACCAAACATTCAACAAAATCAACAAAAGAAAAAACAAAATTGAATACGAAGAATAATAGAAGAATGGGATGATTACTGTTTCAGTGAGGTGATCCAGATTCACGGAGGTGAATCGGAGAAGGTCGTTGCAGCTGAATCTACGAATCGTCGTCATCTTCTCTTCCTTTCCCCCGAATACCCTTTGAGCTTCCCTCGAAGAAGAACAACAAAAGAATAACTACTATCAAAGAAGGAAGCTGGTTTAGTGGGCCATTTAGAATTCTAGCAAGCCCAACTATAATTATATAATATATAATATGATTTAATTTTTTATTTTATTTGATAAACATAACTGAATATATTAATGTATGATAAAATTTCAAACTAATTTTGAAATTAGTGAAAATATTTAAGAATAATATCAAAAATGAAGTTCTTATAAAAATCTTTTAAAACAGTTTTGTTAGAATTTAAATAAATATATTTATATTTAAAATGAAAAGATATCAAAAGATATTATGATTAAAGTATTTTAAAGATTCCATATATTATTAGTTTTATGATATACATGTAGTAAAAATTTCTAGTGATAGTCTATTTTTGAAAAGAAATCATACATGGATCAAAGTCATGATTTCTGTTTTAATATATAAGATTTTATCAACTTGGTGTCAAGATATATTACCAAATCTTATATTTGAAAACTTAATCCATCTACTTTTTATGCAGCCTTTTTGAATGAAGAGATCTCTTTATATAGCTATCACATTTATTTGGTAATATACCAATTCAACATTAAATAGAAGAAAAGAGGAATGGGACATATAAATATATTATCCAATAAGGTTCTCATACAATTATTATTATTATTATTATCTTGTATTAATATATATTAAAACTCCATAAGTTATATTGCTTCTGCTTTCAAACTTTTATTATTTCTTTTAGATTTTCATTTACAAACATTTAAAGTTTATTTAGTGATAGGATATTGACAAAACAAGAATGTAATTTTGGAATATTTATATGTGCACGTATGTTGAAACATTCAAGTTTAGTTTTGTTTTGTTTTGGTTTACTTGAAACGTTGGAATCTTACATTATTAATTTTATCAACTTGCTGTGAAGATATATTACCAGCTCAACATTAAATAACACAAGATAATAATAATTGTATGAAAATCTTAAATGGATAATATATTTATATGTCCCATGCCTCCTCTCTTCAGTATATATAGAGGCATTCAACACCATACATTGAATTGAAATGAACAGAACCCCAAAAGGGAAAACACTAGGGTTTCGAAACGAGCAGCAATGTATATGGGAGAAGAGAAGACGATTGAGATCCACAATGTAACAAAGTCTCTATACTACGACGCACTTCCTCTTGATCTAACGAGAGAGATACTTTTGAGATTGCCTGCTAAATCTTTGATGAGGTTTCGTTGCGTCTCAAAGCTATGGTCATCCATCACAACCGAACCAGATTTCATCAAGTCATTCACTACTTTTTCTTCATCTCGGCCTCGTCTTTTCAGCTTCAGAAAACAAGCCACGAGGTTATTCTTCTCATTTCCACAACACGAGATTCCTGATGACATGTGCTTATCTCAGAGTGTTGTGAGCAATATACTCCCCCGCAAGTATGTATTTTCAACTTTTGAGTCTGTGCATGGCTTAATATCTTTCACTGAGGATTGTAACCGTATTGTAGTATGGAACCCTTCCATAAATCAACACGTAACCATACCTGTACCCGAAAACTCGAGAATTGGTCAAATATATTTAGGATACGATCCTTGTGGAGATACATATAAATTGTTGTGGATACCGGAGTTATCCGAATATTACTCAAACAATGATTATGATGGGGTCTGGGTTCTAACATTGGGGGCTGAAGAATCATGGAGAATTATTGAAGGGAGTACTACTATGTATGGCTTAAGAGGTAGTTGGAAATGCATCAGTGGAGTTATGTATTATATAGTACTACCTATCCCTAGTAACAACCCAGACGGTAGCAAAATTACCATAATGAGTTTCAATGTGAGGTTTGAAACGTTTAAACCAATTAAATTTCCATGTTGTGGGGATAACTTTCCTAGGGGGGAGCATTATCTGCTGAGTTACCATGGAAGATTAGCCCTGGTTTGCTCATTAGCTACAAAACTATGGATTCTTGAAGATGAAAAAGAAGAAAAATGGGTATGTAATATTGACTTGCATTTACCTACTCATAGAATGGATCCAACTAAGAAAATTAACTATCAATTAAGTGATGCTACTGTTACCGGTGAGTTTATATATTTAGCTTTAGCGGAAGATGATAAAGAGATTCATATTCTCTACTATGATCCAAAGAAAAACAGCACCAGAATTTTTAAATTTGAAGAAAGTATGTACAAGGAGTTTGAAGGCTTTGGCGGTGGAGGTTGTAAGTTCGATATTCCTGACGAGATGTGCTTATTTGCATATGGAGAACCAAATCTCACAGGACTTACATATGCTTGGAGGTTTGCACGATGTTACCCGAATCACATTGAAAATCTCATCTCTCTGAAGAACATCACTTACTCAAAATTGGCCTGATTTTCTCTTTTTTTTTTCCTGTCTGATTTTCTCATATGTTATATCGCTTTTGTTTTGATTTTCTCTGTTTCAGTATGAATAAGGCATTTAATTCTAGAGAATATTTCTACTAATGAACTATTTATATGTATGTAATGTTTGCATTGTTATTACTTTGAATGAAAAACTAAGATATGATGACTTAGTAAGAAAACGTTAATCGTTTTCAGCTCCTATTTGAGTCATAATCATAACTTAACTACTTAAATTTTTTTAAAAATACTTTGTTTTTCTTTTGTAAACCCTAATTAACCAACAACCACAAATACATAATAGCAATCAAGGTAAGTGAAATCCATAAATTACTTGGGATTTTTAATAGCGTTTACAAAACGATAAAACCCGTTTTGATAATATATTAGCCAAGTAAATTAAGTTCTTGCAAGGATGTTTATGTGGATCAACTTGAAAACTGGTCAACTTAGCTAGAGTGGTTGGTTGAGCCTTGCACCTGCCGACATGGAATCTGCAACTCCACCATGAGTTGTCTTCATTTCTGGACTGTTTTTGAGTTCTGCTCCAACCACGGCCTCCGCATCTTCACTAGTCACCACCTTGTCTCCAGGAAGCTTTTTTGTCGCATCCTACACAACCCTTAACAATATATGAAGGTACCTTAAAAAAGAAGGGTGAGAAGGTGTATAACAAAGCGCCACAAGCTTTGCTTGCTCTCTGCTTGAAGTCACTAGGAGATACCATTTCTTCCGCTACACAACTTGGAAAGTTGGAAGCTAGCTCGGTAACCGTTTCTAAACGCAACACAATTGTTCCATATTTAATTGTGTCTATAACTTTTGTTGTCTATATTTTAGGGTCTAGACGTGTCTCTCTTGACAGATGGTCTAGGGAGACGATTCTACAAACAGGATTTTGGGCAAAAAAATGCAATGTTCGCCCAGAGAAACTTGGCAAGATCCGACAAAAAAAGTTACATGGGCCAAGAGTTATATAATGAGAAGAAATCTTATGACCAGTTCATTTACAGTCAACAGTCTCAGACATTGCGTGGCGCTTATGCTGCAGAAACATCAAGTAATTACAATTGTGATTTATTATTATTATAAACTTGTTTGTTTAAAACCTATTGTTTTTCCTCTGTAGAAAAGAGAAGTATCGACTTCCCCATTGACAAAATAAATGAAGCTCTAGAACCAAAGCTGTTAGTGAGTTTTGTTATACTTTGTTAGTGAAACCTTTTTTCATAGAGGTATTTTTAATCAATTATATTTATGTCTTATAGTTTATTGTTTCAGATTTTTATTTTATAACTATTTCTGGACTTACTTTTTTTGTGCAGTTCTAAAAAAGTTACATCAACTAAAAGACGTTTTTCTAAGGTAAAATTGTTGAAAAAATATTTGATATCATCATAAGGTTAAATGGTTTATCAATTTTATGCAATGAAAAATAAATTTTGGAGAATATAAACTGTAAACTAATTATCAATGATTTTACATCAACTAAAACTAGAAAAAAACGTTGTATGTGATTGTTTCCTCATCGTTTAAAGAACTGGTCTTTTTTTCTATGTGTTTTAGATCTTAGAAATTAAATAAAAAATAAATACACTAGAAAAATATATAGAAAATATTTATAAAAGGGTCTATATTATATATATTTGCCGAGGGTTATTATATTGGTTAAGACGGCACTGAGAACGAATCTACAGAGTGTCTTGTCACGAATCTTCCGATGGTGTATCTCCATCCACGATGGCCGTGACTCGACTTTTCCGACGACTCTACGACATAACGGTGGCAAATGGTTTATATCAGTCTACGTTGCTATCTACTCACCAAAGCAATGAGTTAGACGCGTGGTCGATCCTGTTCAGTTCGACACTGAATACCAAAAATCTTAACGGTGGCAAATGGTTTATATCAGTCTACGTTGCTATCTACTCACCAAAGCAATGAGTTAGACGCGTGGTCGATCCTGTTCAGTTCGACACTGAATACCAAAAATCTTCTTGGACGTTGTCTCCCGATTCACATTGAAAATCTCATCTCTCTAATTAAAGAACATCACATGCTCAAAATTGGTCTAAGTTTAATTTGTTTTTTTTATCGGTCTGATTTTTTTTTATTGAATTATCGCGGTCTGATTTTCTCATTTTTTATTATCTTTTTTGCATTGTTACTTTAAATGAAAACTAAGATATGATGATTTTTTTAGAAAAACGCGAGCTCCTATTTGAGTCATGATTATAATTTAACTAGTGACAAATATTTTGCTAACCTTAACTAACCCACACACAAAAATAAACATAATAGCAATCAAGGTAAGTGAAATCCTCCATAAATTACTTGATAAGAGTTTACAAAACGATGAAACCCGTTTTGATAATATATATAAGCCAAGTAAAGTAAGTTGTTGCAATTAAGGATTATGTGGATCAGCTTATTAGCTTAGAGTGGTTGATTGAGCCTTGCACCTGCAGACATGGAATCTGCAACTCCACCAGGAGTTGTCTTCATTTCCGGACTGTTTCGGAGTTCTGCTCCAACCACGGCCTCCGCATCTTCACTAGTCACCACCTTGTCCCCCGGAAGCTTCTCTGTCGCATCCTACAACAATATCCATATAAATCAATTTAAACTTCTTTAGAATCTATTACACACTAACAAAGACAAAACACTTCTCACGCTAGCTTTATGAACTTATTATATAAAAAATTGATAAAAATTAAGAATAGTAACCTTAAAGTGTGATTCATAGCAAAGATACTTATATAACGACCAACAAAAAAAAAAAATTGTGATAAAAAGATTAGCATCTTATGGTGAATTCTATATACTATGATGATATTTTCTTATCTGTTATGAAAAAAACAAATCTATATAGCAAAGTAAAAATTAAAGAAAGGTTATATTACGTACGGTGAGAATGTCTGCAATGGTCACTTTGGCTTCCTCCGACACCGTGCGTTCGTTAGTGGCAGCAGCCTCCTTAGCCGCTTCGGCAAGACCACCGGGTCGAGTCTTGGACTCACCGGTGGCTCTAGTTTCAGCCGCTTGAATCGCAGCGGCATCTTTACGGTCGACAGGCTTATCTCCAAGCGACAAAGCCGTAACCTCCAAAGCTTCTCCAATCGTAACCGTATCTACTGATCCCATCGTCACCATCTTTGGATCAGGCTGAGAGACACCAGCGCCTACACTTATAACGTTGCCGTGTTGACGTGAATCTCCTGGGGGATTCTGTTGCTGTGCCATTTCCTTTGTTGTTATGTTGATTTTTGTCTCTTTATTAGGAGTTTTGTGTGTTTGTTCGGATCTTGAAAGTACGATCCTATTAGTCAGATGTCGGATTGACACGTGGACACTTAATTCCACACGTGTCATGCCGCATGTTGTTGTGAAAGTGATGGATCGATCGAATGAATATATTCTACAAATATTTGACTTCTGCTGCGCAAACTTCAAACTAATCAGTTTGTGAAAGTGATGGATGACAAACATAATCAGTTTATTAGAAGAACAATCCGAACCAAAAAAAGCAATGACATTGTACTTTAGTGGACTAGACTGAGCTTACCCTTTTTATCTTAAAGTCCCGATCAGCACTAAGAATATACCATCAAGGGAAAACCTCCTACGAACAAGAAGAGATGAGAATGAGTGACAAAGTAAGTTCATTACAAGAAGGAGACTCTATAATCGAAAGCAGCGAGCGGGGCACCCTTCTTACTAGGTAACACTGATCCCCTCTAGCTCAACCACCCATAGCAAACATGTGGGGAATCATTGCCGCTTATTGCAACTGCACTAACTCTCTTCTCAGAAGATCTGCCATTCTTCATATCATTATTATTGTATAATAATAAGATTACGAAAATTCTGGAGCCTTAATCTATGTTTGTTAGTAACTTACATAGTGTTAAGGCAACGCCAAGAGTCTGCAGAACAAATCTTGACGAGCTTTGCTCTAACTGAATCCTTAAAGAAGCCAAACAGAACAATCTGACTACTACAACAGAAATTGAGTTGTGTCTGTCTGTCTGTCTATGTTGGTACAAGATTTCGGGTTTATAAATATTTTTTAATTTTATAATTAAAATGTTTGTCGGCCCACGTACTATAACATTCGACTATGGGCCTCGCTTATTGGCCCAATCAAACGGACCAGGACAAAAAAAATATATATATATCTGTCAACAAGTGCAAGAAACAGAGGACCTGAAGATTGAAGAAGAAGAAGAATAGTAGTACATGCCTCTCATGCTGTTGTAACAAGAACAACACTCTTTCATCATCAATCTTTTTCTGTGCATTTAAGCTTTTTTTATCACTCACTAGTGTCTCTGGTATCCTTCAGGCTGTATATTGCATTGCTTATTCACCTCGCACTCCAGGCGTTCGATGAAATGACTGCAGAAACTAGGAGACAGTTTATTCAACTCCTCCCTCTAGATACCACTGACTGAGAAGGTTTGACTTTTTTTCTGACGAATAAAGAAAAAGATGTTTTCTTTAAGGAAAGTGAAGAAGCTTCATGCTGTCTCAGTTCACCGGAGTCGTTTCAGTTCTCTGTTTCGTGCCACTGAAGTTACACGTTGTACCCAATCTCAAGCTTCTTTACAACATGGTTTGGCTGAGGCAAGAAACCATAGTTTGTTGTCTAAGCTTCGTACTAGTAGTACCAGGTTCGATGTATGGTCTATAGATAGAACAAAATCATCATTTTCGACCATCAGGTCTGGATCATCAATATTGCTTCAAGCAAGGGATCCTGCTAAACTCAATGAAGAAATCCAAATCGCAGTTGATCAACGTAGATGCCACGAAGCTTGGAGATTGTTTGAACAACATATGCAAATGGAAGGGTTCCCGCGAAAATCAGTTGTTAACAATGTTTTGGTTTGTTTTGCTGAGAGTCTCGATTCCAATTGGTTACAAAAAGGTTACACATTAGTGGAGAAAGCTTTTGAAGAGAGTAAACAGAATCTGCTAGAGAAGGAACCTCTTGTGTATCTCTCATTGGCTTTGGCCAAGTCAGGCATGGCTGTTCCTGCATCAACCATCTTGAGGAAGCTAGTTGAGACGGAAGAGTATCCTCACGTGAGTGCTTGGTCAGCAGTATTGGCGCATATGTCTCTCACGGGGTCAGGAAGTTATCTATCTGCTGAGTTGATTCTTGAGATTGGTTACTTGTTTCAGAACAACAGAGTCGATCCGAGGAAGAAGAGCAACGCGCCTTTGCTTGCGATGAAGCCTAATACTCAGGCTTTGAACATTGCTTTGGCGGGATGTTTGTTGTTCGGGACAACACGAAAGGCTGAGGAGCTTCTTGATATGATACCGAAGATTGGTGTTAAAGCCGATGCTAACTTGTTAGTGATAATGGCTCATATATATGAAAGAAATGGGAGGAGAGAGGAACTGAGGAAGCTCCAGAGGCATATAGATGAAGCTGTTAACTTGAATGATTCTCAGTTTTGGCAGTTCTACAACTGCTTGCTTATGTGTCACCTTAAATTCGGGGATCTCGAATCTGCTTCGAAAATGGTTTTGGAAATGCTAAGAAGAGGAAAGGTAGCAAGGAACTCACTTGGATCCGCCATTTTTGGATTTGGTACTGCAGACGATGATAGATTAAAGCTCAGAAAACAATCAGAGGTTAAAGAAGATGATAATGACCAGACTCTAGTGTTTTCTATCAACAGTATGATCCCATATGAAGAGTTCGTTAGAGACATGAAGTTTCTAAAACTTGAAGCTGAGGCAAAGGATGTTCTTGGTGCATTGTTGGCTAAGTTGCATGTACAAGTCGAATTGATTACCTCGGAACGAGGTGTTCTGCAACCGACAGAAGAGATTTATGTGAAATTAGCAAAGGCATTCCTGGAAAGTGGAAAGATGAAGGAGTTAGCCGAGTTTATGTTAAAGGCAGAGCATGAAGACTCCCCTGTTTCTAGTGATAACTCGATGCTGGTGAATGTTACCAACGCGTGTATTTCTCTTGGAATGTTGGATCAGGCGCATGATCTACTCGACGAGATGCGTATGGCTGGGGTAAGAACCGGTTCTTCTGTATACTCTTCGCTTCTCAAAGCTTACTGCAAAACCAACCGAACTAGGGAAGTGACAGCACTTCTTAGAGATGCTCAAAAGGCAGGGATTCAGTTCGACGCAAGCTGTTACGAAGCCTTAATCCAGTCTCAGGTGATTCAGAACGATACTCATGGAGCTCTCAATGTGTTCAAGGAGATGAAAGAGGCTAAAATAGCGAGAGGTGGGAATCAGCAGTTTGAGAAGCTCTTAAAGGGATGCGAAGGAAACGCAGAGGCGGGACTTATGTCGAAACTCCTGAGAGAGATCAGAGAAGGGCAGAGTAATTTGGATGCTGGTGTTCATGATTGGAACAGTGTGATCCATTTCTTTAGCAAGAAAGGTTTGATGCAAGACGCAGAGAAGGCGTTGAAGAGGATGAGAAGTCTGGGGCATTCTCCGAACGCTCAAACTTTTCATTCTATGGTCACAGGTTATGCAGCCATTGGGAGTAAATACACAGAGGTGACTGAACTTTGGGGAGAGATGAAGTCCATAGCCGCAGCTACTTCATCAATGAGGTTTGATCAGGAGTTGCTGGATGCGGTGCTGTATACGTTTGTTAGAGGAGGGTTTTTCTCGAGGGCTAATGAAGTTGTGGAGATGATGGAGAAAGGGAATATGTTTGTTGATAAGTACAAGTATCGGATGCTCTTCTTGAAGTATCACAAGACTGCGTATAAAGGCAAAGCTCCAAAAGTTCAGAGCGAGTCTCAGCTCAGGAAGAGGGAATCTGGTTTAGCATTCAAGAAATGGCTTGGCTTATCTTGATTGCTGTCTATAGTAATCATAAAAGGTTGTTTCAAAGTCACGTTTTCAATTTTGTCTTAACCTTTTTATGATGCTTAGAAGTCAAATTGTGTCCAATCCATAACTCATACTTTCTTTATTCGTTTCTAGAATATAATTAACAACCAGTCTTGATTGGTTTGGGTTGGTACTCATTCTTGTAAGTTTAATCTAAACTGCATATTAGAACCTTTAGTTACCTTCAAAAGCCATGAACAAACTCTCCAACACCAAACATTAACAGACCACATTAAACGGGATAGCAATATAGGTGGAAGAAGGAATCTTTTAATAACCAACGTGGAGAAATGACAAAGGGTGACAAGGAAGTGGACCGAAAGCACACCGTCCTAGACATCCTGTCTTTGTCACTAATCACTTGTCAGCTACTCTTTGCTCTTTTCTTTTAATCAAATCATTATTGCTTATTCAATACACATTCATGACACCCCCCCGTCTTTGTTGCTGATTCTAAATTACTATTCAAAACTTGTTACTGCTAGTATTATTCAGATCTGTTCTAGTCTTCTTAACATTTTTAAATATAGAAAAGTAACAAATGATATAAATATACTTGTTCATGGGAAAATGGAAACTGGAAAGTATCAGATCGAATCTTTGAACACGAGATTTAAACTAATCGTGCATGGATTAAATTATTAGTTTACGTAAATGTTCTATAAGGTTTTTTTTTTTTTTTTATATATAAATGCAAATCTCTCGGCAGAGAAGGCGATCCCGAAGATGCAAAGTCACGCGACTTCGATTGAAAAAAAAAATCGAGTTTAATACTAAAAAACATTTTTGGAAAAAGTGGTGGAGGGTGATATGGTCATTTTGTAGCTTCCCCATGAGTCCACCACCGTACCAAAACAATTCTTCACAACGTAAAAAGTAGGAACAGAGCTGAAACGCCTGTAGAGAGAGAAGTAGATAGATCTATTATGAAGAAGATGAGTTGATCTATGCTGAAGAAGAAGAGTTAGCGAAAGCTCATCAAGACGAACTATTTCTTCCGGTGATCGTCGAGATCTTTGCTTTCAGACTTGATCTCAGTACTGTTAGATTCGCCTTGTGTAAGATCAACTGTTGTAGCCAAGTTCAGTATTGTACTACGGTAAGCTGGTTTCTCTTTGCTCTGTTTTCACTTAGTCTAGTTTCTCGTTTATTAGAGCTTAAAAATCGTTTTTTTACTGATCCGGTTTTTCCATCTGTAACAAAGTGTTTGATATGTTTCTGTCCAGGTTATTACCTACTTCTTTGGCTAGTGAAGTATGTTTGGTCTCGCTTTTGGCCTTCATTGACTTGGTAATTTGTTTATACTTTTTGTCTATATTTGTGTTCTGTATGATTGATCAGCTTATTCATTTTGTATGGAAGCTTAACGCTTGCTCTGTTTCTTTTTTACAGAGGAGTTTGGTGTACTTTTGGAATTGAGAGCGCCTCTGAACGTGCAATATTCTGGTTTGCTGGTGGTGTGTGTGTGTAATTTTGCTTGGGAAAAATGGCTGCTTTTGGGAACGCTAACACTAAACGCTATTCTTGGTGGTGGGATAGTCACATAAGCCCCAAGAACTCTAAATGGCTTCAGGAGAATCTTACAGGTACTTTACTCAGAGAAACGACTAGTTCATCTGAATTTAATTGTCTCTATACAAGTGATTTTCTTGTTTTTGCTCAAGAGAAGAATCATTTTTCTTTGGTGAGATGTCGAATCTTGGTTGTTTTCATGATGATGCGTAGACCACAAAATTTCTTTCACTTTGTTTGAGTTTTATGTCATGTTGGTAACTTTGCTTGGGACTAACATGTTTTTATTGTTGTTAACAGATATGGATAGTAAAGTGAAGCAAATGATCAAAGTTATTGAAGAAGATGCAGATTCCTTCGCTAGGCGAGCAGAAATGTATTACAAAAAGCGGCCTGAGCTTATGAAACTGGTAGAAGAGTTCTATCGAGCATATCGTGCTTTAGCTGAAAGATATGATCATGCCACCGGCGTCATTCGTCACGCTCAGCAGACTATGGCAGAAGCGTTCCCGAATCAAGACCCCATGATGTTCGGTGAGGAGTCACTTGTCGGTTCTTCCACCACCGAAGAGTTTGATCCACAAACGCCTGAGAGTTATCCTCCTATCCGAGCTCCTGTTTACCCTAGTGACTTGCAAAAAGATGCTTTGGGGATCTCTTCCTCTCGTATGAGTACCGTAAAGAGAAATATAGCCTTCATGGAAGATCCTCAGTCTAACGGGAAGGGTTTCAAAATTGGAAAGGCAAGAAAAGGGTTGAACTTCAATGATGCTGATGGGAACGGTAGAAATGCAAAGGTTCTTTCGGAATCTGAACGTGCTAGCAAAGCTGAAGCTGAGATTGTGGCTTTAAAAGATGCTCTTGCGAAAGTGCAGGCTGAGAAGGAAGCTAACTTAGCTCAGTTTGATCAGAACTTGGAGAGACTAGCTAATATGGAGTCTGAGGTATCTCGTGCGCAAGAAGACTCTAGGTGTCTTAATGAACGAGCTACAAGAGCTGAAGCTGAGATTGAAACACTCAGAGAGACTCTCAGAAAGCTTGAGGTTGAGAAGGAATCTAGTCTTCTTCAGTATCAGCAGTGTCTAGAAAACATAGCTGATTTGGAGGAACGTATCTCTCTAGCTCAGAAGGAGGCTGGAGAAGTTAATGAGCGAGCCAGCCAAGCTGAAACTGAAATTTTAGCATTGAAGCAAAGCCTTGTTGGATCAGAAACTGACAAGGAGGCTGCTCTTGTTCAGTATCAACAATGCTTGGAAACCATATCTAACTTAGAAAAGAGGTTGCGCAAGGCTGAGGAAGATGCGAGGTTAATGAACCAGCGGGCAGAAAATGCTGATGGTGAAGTTGAAAGCTTAAAGGAAAAGGTCTCTAAATTGACTCAAGAAAATGAAGCTTATGAGTTTCAGTACCAGCAGTGTCTGGAGACGATTGCAGACCTAAAGCTCAAGCTGTTTCATGCTCAAGAAGAAACCCAAAGACTTAGCCGTGAAATAGAGGATGGGGTTGCTAAGTTAAAATTTGCAGAGGAAAAATGCGTTGTGCTTGAGAAATCAAACCAGAATCTGCACTCAGAGCTGGATGGTCTGTTGGAGAAACTTGGGAATCAAAGTCATGAGCTCACGGAGAAACAGAAAGAGATGGGGAAGTTGTGGACTACTGTACAAGAAGAACACTTGCGTTTCATGGAGGCTGAGACTGCTTTTCAAACCCTGCAACATTTGCACTCTCAGTCTCAGAAGGAGCTAAACACTTTGGCATTGGAACTTCAAAACAGGTCTCAGATCCTGAAAGATATGGAGGCCCGTAACAGTGGTTTATTAAAGGAAGTCCAAGAAGCCAAAGACGAGAATAAAATCCTTGATGAGCTCAATCTCGCTTCAGCTGCGTCCATTAACAGTTTGCAGGAGGAAGTTTCAAGATTACGGGAGACAATACAGAAACTTGAAGCAGAAGTTGAACTGAGAGTGGACCAGAGGAATGCTTTGCAGCAAGAGATATACTGTCTTAAAGAGGAATTAAGCCAGATGGGAAAGAAACACCAGTCCATGATAGAACAGGTGGTGTTGGTTGGTTTACATCCAGAGGACTTTGGATCTTCTATCAAGGAATTGCAAGAGGAGAACTCAAAGCTAAAGGAAATAAAGGAAAGAGAAAGTATAGAAAAGATGGCCTTGCTTGAGAAGTTAGAATTGATGAAAGAGCTTGTTCAGAAAAATCTTCTTCTGGAGAACTCTATATCAAATTTGAATTCTGAGCTGGAAACAATAAGAGGAAAGCTGAAGACATTGGAGGAAGCTTGTATGTCACTTGCAGAAGAGAAATCAGGGCTTCATTCTGAGAAGGAAATGTTGATTTCCCGTTTGCAGAGTGCTACAGAAAACAGCAAGAAACTCTCTGAGGAGAACAAGTTACTGGATAACTCTCTTTTTGATGCAAATGCAGAACTTGAAGAACTCAAGTCAAAACTGAAAAGCCTAGAAGACTCATGCCACATGCTGAATGATGACAAGTCTAGTTTAGTTAATGAAAGGGAAAGCTTACTCGCTCATATGGATATAATGAGGAAAAACATTGAAGATCTGGAGAAAGAACAGGCAGAGTTAAAAGTGAAAGTGTTGGAATTAGATACCGAGAGGGAATCTTGCCTTCAGAAAATTAAAGAGCTGGGAGTGTCTCTAGATACCAAGGACCGTGACTATGCTAGTTTTGTGCAACTGTCTGAGAGTCATATGAATGGCATGAAATCAAAGATCTATCATCTTCAAGATGAAAATCAACGCAAGGAGAAAGAGTATCAAGAGGAACTTGATAAAGCTCATGACGCTCAGGTTGAGATTATTGTTCTTCAGAAATGTTTGCAGGACTGGCTTGAGAAGAGTTCATCTCTCGTTGATGAGAATCAGAATCTCAAACAAGCTGCTCATCTGTTGGAGAAGCTAGTTTCTGAACTAGAACAAGAAAATATTGGGAAACAAGTGCAAATTGATTCCTATATTAACTGCATTAAAGTACTGAGAACAGGGATCTACCAGGTATTAATGAAGCTTGAAGTTATACCAGGTGTAGATTCCGGTGATGAGAATTCGCAAGACCAGAAAAATATGCATGAGATATTGAGTAGACTTGATGAGATGCAAACTATGCTTTTAAAGATTCAGGGAGAAAACCATCAGGGCACTATTGAGAACCTCGTCCTAGTTGAATTTATTCGGCAACTGAAATCAGAAGCTGTTAGTATTGCAACATGGAAGAATATTCTTGAAGAAGAGAATGAATCTCAGCGTTCCCAGCTCTTGCTTTTGCAGGATGAGATCCAGAAACTTATCTGCATAAATGGAGAACTTACCACAAAGGTTAATCAAGGAGTTGACAGAGAAGATGTGTTGAAGGTGGAAATTGAGGATTTGCACAGGCAGTCAGCTATTGAGAACTTTGTCTTTGTTGAATTCCTTCATCAACTTAAATCAGAAGCTGTTGGTATTGCAAGTGAGAAGAAAAATCTTGAGGAAGAACTTGAATCTAAGAGTTACCAGCTATCGTTTTTGCTGGATGAGGCCAAGAACCTTAGCCACATGATTGAAGAATTGAATACAAAAGTTAATCAAGGAGTCGACAGAGAAGAAGTCTTGAAGTTGGAAGTTGATGATTTGCATAGGCAGTATGCCATTGAGAACCTCGTCCTTGTTGAATTTCTTCGGTCACAAGCTGTTGGTATTGCAACTGAGAAGAGAACCCTTGAGGAAGAACTTCAGTCTCAGCTTTACCTGCTCTCGGTTTCGCAGGATGAGACCAAAATACTTGGCCACATGATTGAGGATTTGACTACAAAAGTTAATCAAGGAGTCAACAAAGAAGAAGTCTTGAAGGTTGAAAATGAGGATTTGCACATGCAGTCTGCGATTAACAACCTCGTCCTTGTTGAATATCTACGTCAACTCAAATCAGAAGCTGCTAGTATAGCAGCTGAGAAGCAAGCCGTTGAGGAAGAACTTGAATCTGAGCGTTACCAGCTATCGTTTTCGCGGGATGAGGCCAAGAACCTTATCTACAAGATTGGAGAACTGACCACAAAAGTCAGTCAAGGAGTAAACAGAGAAGAAATCTTGCAGGTTGAGATTGAGGATTTGCACATGCAGTCTGCTATTGAGAACCTCGTCCTTGTTGAATCTCTTTGTCAAATCAAATCAGAAGCGGTTTGTATTGCAACTGAGAAAGTTTTCCTTGAAGAAGAACTTGAATGTCAGCGTTCCAAGCTCTCACTTTCTCGGGATGAGGCTCAGAAACTTATCTACATGAATGGAGAATTAAACTCAAAAGTTAATCAAGGAGTCAACAGAGAGGAAGCATTGAAAGTGGAAATTGAGGATCTGCACAGGCAAGTCTTGCAACTTCGAAATGACTACACCATTTTGCAGGGAGAGAACTACAAAACGTTGGACGAGAAAAGATACTTGACAAAGTCAACACTACGGTTAGAGGAGGAGAAACGTAAACTAGAAGAGGATATATCTTTTCTTCTTTCCGAAACTATATACCAAAGCAATCTCATTCTTCTTTTGGAGGATGTCGTTTTGGGAAAACTTTCAGAAGCTGTGAAACTAAACGAGGATTTAGACAGGCTCAGTTTTGCCAAGTGTAAGCTCGAGGAAGAGGTAAGGGAGGTTGGTGATAAGTTAAAATCTAGAGAAACTGAGAACTTGCAGCTTGAAGGTTTGCTAGAGGAAACGGAGGCTGAACTACTCTCTGCCAGATCAGCCAATGATCACTTGGGACATGAAATTGCTAATGTGAAGGATCAGTTGGTTCAGAAGGAGAAGGAACTCGTAGAAGCTATGCTGATGATCTCCATCGTGCAGAGTGAAAAATCTGAGCTATCCAAGGAAGTGGAGGATTTAGAATGTAGATACAAGGAAACTAAAGCTATAGAAGAAGATAAAGATAAGCAGATTCTGAAACTCCGTGGAGATTACGATGAGCAGGTTAAGAAGACTGGTCATGTAAACGAAGCTAATATGAAACTGGAAGCTGACTTGTTGAACTTACTCATCGAACTCAAAGGAATCAAAGTGGAGACGGAAAAACTGAACCAGGAGCTTTCCAAAGAGAAGAATGAGGTGGAACAATGGGAGTCTCAAGCTTCAACATTGTTTGGAGATTTGCAGGTTTCAGTTGTTAATGAAACGTTCCTGAAAGGATTGACTTATGAGCTAGCAGAAGCCTACAATAACCTTGAAAATAGAAGCACATTAAAAGACGTGGAGATTGACCAGCTGAACCAGAAGCTTTCCAAAGAGAAGAACGAGGTTGAGCTATGGGAGTCTCAAGCGTCAACGTTGTTTGCAGATTTGCAGATTTTATCTGTGCATAAAACATTGCTGGAAGGGTTGATCCATGAGCTAGCGGAAGCCTGCAAGAGCCTTGAGAAAAGAAGCACATACAAGGACGTGGAGATTGACCAGCTTAAAGAAAGAGTGAACAACTTAGAGGATGCAAACAAAGGACAAGAAGATCTTATGAGCAAATACTTCCAAGCTATTATCTTGTTGAAGGAGAGCATACAATCTCTGGAAAAACATATTGCCATGCCACATGAACTCGTGGATGAACCAACCAAGGTATGTTCTCTTAGCAAACTCTCTAATAACCAAATACTTTTATTTAGTCGTAGTGAAGAGTTGAGGCAGTTTTATCGTTGGCCTAAGTAAAATTTCCATTGGCACTGATGTTGCATAATCAATTTCGTTATTTTCTTGTGGAAGAGTAAACCAATCTTTTGTGGCTGTCTCATACTAGGACACTGCTTCTATGGTGGATATCAACGAGGGATCCTTAGAGTTGCATGATATGTGCTTGAGGATCAAAGCTATGGAAGAGGCCTTAACCAAGAAGCTTGCAACGGAAGAACTAAAAACATCTGCCAGAAGAAGCAGGAGGAGAAGCGGAAGTCTACGGAAACAGAACCATGAAATCTATTCACAGGAAAGTGAAATGATCACAAAAGATATCGTACTTGACCAGGTCTCTGATTGCTCATCATATGGGATCAGCAAAAGAGACATTCTGAAGATAGAAGATGATCACAGTTTTGAAGTAAACCCACAAAGTCTTCACACAGGTAACTCTTTGTCTGAAGAGTCACTGGTTGTGGATAAACTAGAGATCTCTGACAGATTCACTGACCCAAACAAAGAAGTAAACAAAAGGAAAGTTCTCGAGAGACTTCATTCTGATCTACAGAAGCTCTCGAATCTTCACATAGCCGTAGAAGATTTGAAAACCAAAGTGGAGAAAGAGGAGAGAAGTGAGAAAGGAAAAGAAGACGAATACGAAACAGTCAAGGCACAGATCCATGAAGCAGAGGAAGCCTTGGAGAAACTTCTAACCGTCAACAGGAAGCTGGTGACAAAAGTGGTAAGCGGGTTTGAGATAACAGATGGAAGCAAGTCATCAGTGGATCTTGATGAGGATGAAAGAAGCAGAAGGAGACGAATATCAGAACAAGCGAGAAGAGGATCAGAGAAGATTGGGAGGTTGCAGTTTGAGATACAGAGGTTACAGCATTTGTTACTAAAGTTAGAAGGAGAAAGAGAGGAACGAGTAAAAGCTAAGACGTCATCGAATAGTAAAACGAGGACTCTTCTCAAGGATTATATCTATGGAGGAGTGAAAGGTGAGCGAAGGAAGAGGATTAAGAAGCGGTTTGCGTTTTGTGGGTGTGTACAACAACCACCTTCATCTCCTTGATCGTTTTTTTTAAAACTAGTTGTTGTTGTGGAGTAAACGTAATAATAATCATGTCAAGTTTTATATACATGAATCAAAAACAAACACACCTTTGGTAATATTAGAGTATTTTTACATGTTTGAAAGACATGATAATGTACAATCAGTTAACTCTCGGCAGCTCTGAAAATGGTGAGGAGAGACAAGAAGAGGTTAATGATGTCCAAGTAGAGCGACACTGCTGCCCAGATGTACTCATCGTAACTGTAACGTTTGATGAGATTGTCTGTGTCGTACACTATGTAGCCACAGAATATTATCGATGCCAAGCAACCGTAGATCATCACTGAGATCTTACCCAACGGGAAAAAAATCTGCATAACATTGGAACAAAGATCAAGCTCGTATATTCAACCAAATGTATAACCAAGTGTAATAGGAAAGACATGTGTGGTATGTTGTTTACCTGAATAAGGGCAAAGACCATGAGAACAATGATAGCACCAAACAAGAAGGGACCGAGGAAGTTAAAGTCATATCCTTTCTTTGCAGCCCAGAAAGTGTAGAAGGTTAAGGAAAGCACCACTACTGTTGTTAGAATCGCTGACTCAAGAATCACTTTCCCTGTTTCAAACAACAAAGTTACAGTAACCATTTACATCTCTGTTTTTTTTGTTATATTGTAATTATGTTAAGAAAAATCTAAGGCTTGTACTAAAGACTATTCATAACGTGTTATTGAGTACTGAGAAAGTAAGGAAAAGACATCTCAGATATGTGTTGGAGACTTAATGTAATTTTAATCATTAGCGTGTTGTCTAAGCAGAGTCCCTTGAAAGACAAGAAACGAATAAAAGAATAGAGTGTGACACAAGTAATTACCACTGGTGAATGCACATGATAACCCAACGGCGAAAGCAAGAGCCACCGTGAAAATCCCAAGAAGCAAGTAGTTCACCGGATGTTTCTGGTGGTAATAGTACAAAGGACACAACACTGCAATAACAACATAAACAAAAAAACAGTTTCAGACACAAACTCAAACGAACAGACCAAAACAAACGTTAAACTAACAAAGCTTTTACCTAGAAGAGGCGTGATGATTAAAACTATCCAGAGAGCAAGACCGGCACTAGTGGTGGAGAAGAACACGGCGATGGGACGGACGGTAACCACCGTGGCGGCGACGGCGATTGTTGCTAAAAGCTGAAAAGCGATTATGGAGTAAACCTTACGTATAAAGCCCCATCTGAGTTCGGGGCTCTCAAGCATATTCGGATACAGAGGTTTCTCGCCGCTGTTAACGCCGCTCTCCACGTCATCTTTGCGGTAGGGAAGATTCCACTTATGCATTATTATGTTAAATAGAGACGCGTGAATATTTGAGATCGTGAGGGTGATGATTAAGGTTTGCTTTGTTACGAGAGAAAATAAGGGTTTTGGGAAGTTATAAAGAGCAGTTGCGGGAAGAGGAAGGGAACGTTCTTGAAGACGCGTGCGAACATGACGACGAAACGTTTAGCGTTAAAGGTGGAAACCGTATCTACAATTCTCTAGATGGCTCCAAGGGTTATTAAAAACTCTGTGATTTTATGAAATTTTATTATGGGCCTTATACGGGCTAAGTGAGAGAATTATTTTAAACCGGGCCTAAACAAAATAAAGGAAATAAATTGGGCTTTGACAACATTCGAAGGTCCATCGTTCCTGATATTGATTTTGTCGTGATTCATAAGGGTTATTCTTTTCTGTCGTGAGAAATGATTGTAGTCGTCACACACGATTTTTTTTTTTTTTTTTTTTGATAACCGTCACACACGATTTGTCTTGCTGATAAATTGCAAGAATCAGACAAATGAATATACAAGTATCATATTTATTAATAGTTTTTTTTCGCTGAAATTTGGATCATATTTGTTTAATAGTTGATAGCAAGTGGTCGATATTACATTTCTTGACCAAGTTAAGCTTTTATTTCTGCATATATTTTATTTTTTCATCAACATTTTATATTTTTGTTTGATGACTATTTACCATGCTCCACTTACTAACTTTCTTTGCTTGTGTTAGTCGACGTGACCTCTACATTTTGTTTTTATATACCTTAAGCCACGACTTGCTTAAGGTGTCAAAATAAGCTGAGAAAGCAAAATGATCCTAAGTTTGATAAACATATAATATAACAGGTTACAGGTGATATATAGAGCAACTCAAACTTTAACAAGGAATTTTGTTTGGTTTTGAAATTTTCCAGATTGAATAGTTTATAGTTGTCTACACAAAGATTAATAACACTGCTATGATCCACGACCTAACAACGTTAATGTTCTTCACAGTTCAATATAGCAAAAAGAAAATACAATAAGTTTTGGTCACAAACTCACAAGTGTTTGTTGTAATAGTAACGTCCAAAGAGGAGGGAATCACGTCTCGCAATCACTCATCAAGCCTAGCCTAGACAAAACACGTGGCATTCTCGTTCCTGGTGGGCTCTACTTCCGATTGTAGACGTGAACCTATAAAGGATTTTGATGTTTGACCTTTCACTGCCCCCTATTTTTCTTCATATTTATAATTTTGGTCTCATTGTTTATATTTAAGTATTCGCTATTAGTTGCATAAAAATAAAGTTAACAATTATGTCTAGCATCCATAAGTAGTTGAATAAGTTCAGAATACCGATTAGAGTAAATAAAAATAATACACTAATACATACTATATTATATTAAACAAAATTAAACAATGGTTATACTCAATTTTTTTGAACGAGTCAGCTTATGTTACTTTCACGTATGAAAATGTCAAATTTATTTAAATTCAAGTGTTGTATATATTGTTCCTTATACATTGGCTGATTGTCTGCGCCATCGGTTTTGGGAGTTGTATATACATCATTTTTAATTAGGTTGCAAGTGGTCAAATATGAATGGAATATTATAATGGGTAGAAAACTAACATAAAATACAACTACGAGGACTAAAAAGGAAATAAAGCTGGAAATAACAACAACAAAGAGAGAGAGAGAGAGAGAGGAACAAAAGATGTCTAGAGAGAGAAAGTGAGACGACTTGAGCGACAATCAAGGCGCGGAAAGACGCCGTCAACAAAAAAAAAAACAGCACAAGAACAAAAAAATAAAAAAAAATAATAATAACGAAACGAAGGAAGGATCTTCTTCTTCTTCTCTTTGGTTGATTAATCTGTGAAAATCTTAATTGATTAAATTTAAAAAACATAAATTAAAATCGTTTGTTTTTCCTCCGCTAAGCTCATTTTTTTTCTTCCTTCGTTTTGTCAAAAATCGGTTTTGGGATTTAGGGGTTAAAACATCAAAATCACGATTCGAAATCTTCATTTAAGATCTTTTCCTCTTCATACGAAACCCTAATTTTGACACATTGTTGTAACTCAGCTCAATTTCCATCTCCTTTTGGAGCGATGAGGAGAGTTTTGAGTTGATCGCATTAGGGTTTGATAATCGACGACTCGGATCTGGTCTGGTCGTCGTCGGATGAAAGTGGAGAATCATGAAATGGGCGACATTGCTTAAGGACTTCAAGGAGAAGGTCGGTTTAGCTCAATCCCCTGACGCAACAACCTCCGACTCCTTCCCCGTTGACCTATCCGCTCCTCCGTCTTCCTCCTCCACCTCTCCTTCCTCTACTTACCCCGACGCGTCCTCGTCTAATCGCTTTGACTTCAACTCATTTCCTTCAAGGTATCCTCTTGATCTGGTTGATGTGCATTGTTGCTTGTTTTTTAGTTTGCTGATTTCGCTTTTATCCTTGTTTTTTGGGACCAAAGTGTTTAGATTGCTTTATAAGTGATCAACATCTTTTTAGATTGCTTTATTTTGCAACCTTTGTGGTGTTAGATTTTGTGATAAGGTTTTTAATTGAGAGTCAAAGGCTTCTAGTACTTACATGTATAAATCATTTAATTTAAATCGTTTATCAGTTTTATGGATTGGATTCTGTAATTTTGTTGACTGGTTGCTGTTGTTGTAAGACAATTGTTGATTCACTTCTTGTAAGCAGAGATAATAACCATGAGTTGGAATTGGACTTCAAGAGATTATGGGAAGAGTTCCGTTCATCAAGCTCTGAAAAGGTTCTTACTTTGATTATCCATACTCTTGTTAATCTTTTTTACCTTCAATCTTGCAACAATATCTCTTCTTGTATTATCTGTACTGGATTTGTCTACTAAAGACTAGCAAATCATGAGTGCTAATCGTTCGTATGTCATGCAGGATAAGGAAGCCGCCTTAAATCTGACTGTGGATACATTTTGTAGATTAGTGAAGCGGCATGCCAATGTAGATCAGTTAGTTACTATGTAAGCTGTTCCTAACTCTTTTTTCCCGTTCTCGCTGGATATATGTTGAAATGGTGTTTGTTGTTTCCTAGTGAAAATATTATTTGCACCTAATTTATTGTGGGATATACGTTTTTTTAACCTGTCTGTTCTTCTCTCGTCTATCGGGTCTTCTTCTGTATCTCATATTATATGCTTGTATGTCAGACTTGGTAAAATCATTCATATTGACAAATTTATTTGAATTGCAGGTTAGTAGAAACACATATATTCTCTTTTGTCATCGGGAGAGCATTTGTGACAGATATTGAGAAGTTGAAGATTGGCAGCAAGGCAAGGTCATTGGATGTAGAGAAAGTTTTAAAGTTCTTTTCAGATGTCACCAAGGTTTGCCATTCTGAATATTGTGCATCTTGGCATGTCTACTACCTCTCTTCTCTGTTTCTAATCCATGTTCTCCTCCTGCAGGAGGGATTTAGTCCGGGTGCGAACCTCTTAGCTTCTGTTGAAGTACTTGTATCTGCGGTACCTTTTTGACCTTTTCCAGTTTACTCACTCCATAAAATCTTATAATGCTCAATTTCACACCATCCAGGATGTTGGATGGTTGATACTTTTATGCCTTATATAATGTGTACCTCATATCCTTGTATGTGTCATTTTCAGCCAATCGACAAACAATCTCTCCTGGATTCTGGGATTTTCTGCTGTCTAATACACGTTCTCAGTGCGCTTCTAGCATATGATGAACCACGCAAAAGTAAAACAACTGCTGATCTGGAAGAGGTATCAGCAGACACAGATGCTGTATGCAGAGTTCTTCAGACTAGACGACTTGAGGTTCTGTTTCAACAGTTTTATTCCAAATTTTAATAAGGCTAGGAATAATCTGTTTTTGCGTTGGATATTTGACAACCAAATTTTCATACTACACATGCTTTATCATTTAAATAAATATTTTTGCCCTCTTATTCTTGTAGGTGGAGGGTAGTGTTGTCCATATCATGAAAGCTTTAGCAAGCAATCCTTCTGCTGCTCAGAGTTTGATTGAAGATGATTCTCTTGAGGCGCTTTTCAATATGGTTGCCAATGGCGCCGTTACGGTTTTCTCTCAGTATAGAGAAGGTCTGGTTCCACTCCATAGCATACAGCTTCACAGACATGCCATGCAGGTATTTTTCGTGCATCTAAGTTAGAGCATTGTGTCATGAACAGCTTTCTAATTTCACGGCTGAAACCTGATTGAATAACCTGATGCTTATAGTTTCATTTGATACCCTCTCGTGCCTCCTCCAGATTCTTGGAATTCTTCTAATCAATGATAGTGGGAGCACATCAAGATATATACGCAAGCACCATCTGGTATGGCAATGATTTATGCAGACTGTATTGAGTGTAGTTTATCGCTTCTTGTGCATACTTATTAGCTTTCACCTTGGGTTTTAGTTAATCTTTCTTGTTGATTTTTAAACTATGTGAGATTTCCGTGGTCAAGGACTTGATTTTCAGGAGATTTATGTTGATTTCAGGATAAAAACAAATGATAATTAGATGTTGTATATAGGTATTTTAGTTTCTTCAGAAGTTTACTATTACAAAGTGACAAGTCCAATATGGCAGTTGAAAAGGTTTTCATTCCCTTTTGTGAATTGCTTATAATAAACTATCAAATCGACGAAGCAAATAAATTTGTGATTTCTCCTGCAGATAAAGGTTCTCTTGATGGCTGTCAAAGATTTTGATCCAGATTGTGGTGACCCAGCCTACACAATGGGAATCGTGGACTTGTTACTTGAATGCGTGGAACTATCATACAGACCTGGTAAATATGGTTTACACCAATATAAGAGCTCTAAATATGTTATGTCCGTATGGAAAATGCAACGTGAGAGTAGAATATCTAGTTATCACATTGCGTTTATGGACATGTAAGGTGTTCGGATTACGGCTACTAATCGTTTTATGTTTTGACTTTGTAGAGGCTGGTGGTGTTAGACTCAGGGATGACATACGTAATGCACATGGTTACCACTTTC